CAAGAGTAAATATTTTAGGCTGTAAAAGCTATAGGATCTTTGCCACCAGAACTCAACTCTATTTGTAGTACAAATAGACAACAAATGAACATGTCTGTGTTTTAATAAAATTTTATTTTCACAAACAAGCAGTGGGCCATCATCTACTGACACCACTGTAGGCTATCCCACATTCTGGATTTGGCTAGTTATTTTTTTTATGGTGTTAACTTGTTCTTCCATCCCCTATATTTCTAATTAGATTCAAGTTCAGTGACTTTGGTGCTGATACTTCTTGAGCAGTGACATATGCTTCCTGGAGCATCACATCTCAAAGCAAAGATGGTCTGTGCCATGGGTGTTTCTTAAACAGGACTTTTTTACAATCTGCAACTAGACTTGCTTTTAAGGAGAGTCCTGCCCACCCCATGAACACTAGCAAGGCTGATTCTTTCTAGATGCAGAGATGAATGGAAGGTGACTACTGTTGTCTATTTGTAAATATGTATTAAAAGCTTAAAAATTAGCTCAGCAACTTCACTGCTGATAATTCATCCTTGAGGAAGTGGTTTGGGAGGATGTTCCTCACAGCACTAACTGTAATAACAGAAGTTTGCTAGACAGCTACCATTAGGAAATCAACTAATGCAGGGCGATCACGGTAACACACCATGCCTCTGATTTAAGAGCAAACCAACCAGCCAGGTGCGGAAATGTCACATTAAAAAGAGTACATTTTATTTTGTTGAGAGGAAAAGGCAACTTTAAAAATGGGATGGGTAGAAGTGTGGGTGGGATGGGAGGGATGGGGGTCGGTGTATAGATGGATGGTAGATGGATAGGTGGAAGCATGAATGAATGGGTGGGTGGATGGGTGAATGGATGGATGGCTGGATGGGTGGATGGATGGGTGGGTGGATAGATGGATGGATGGATGGATGGAAGGATGGATGGAGGGTGGGTGGGTGAATAGGTGATGGATGAAGAAAAACAGAAGGAAGGCTGGCAAGTGGCTCCAGTGGTAGAGCACCTGCCTGGTAACTGTGTGGTCCTGGGTTCAAACCCCAGTACCACCAAGAAAAAAAAAGGCGTGGGTGAATAGATAGATAAAATCCAGGACGGTTGGATGGATGGAAGGAAGCACAGATAGATGGGTGGGTAGGTGAATGGATGATGGATGGATGGATAAAAGTATGGATGGGTGGGTATGTGGATAGATGGATGGGGTCACTAGAAAGAATCAAGTAAATAAACTGAGTCAGTAAGAATACTGGTTGTAACTTTTATCGGTCACTTTCCATATTTCAGGCACTACCTTGAGTATTTTATATTAGTTTCATAATCCTTTCTGCAACCCTATAAGATGAATGGTATTAATTCCCACATATACAGATGAGAAACTGAGGCATATCAGGGTTAAATAACCTCACCCAAGATTATAAAATGGTGACTGGCAGAGGCAGACTTTGACCTGAGCACCTGAGTCTAGAGCACAGTGGTACTGCAGTCTACCACCTGTCCAGGTGGGGAGAAGTGTCTGGAAAATAGGTGTAAGTTTACATGTTAATCATGGTTCCCCAGTATTTGGAAAACATTTGAGTTTTCTTTGTTCATTTCCTTTTTCCCTTACTTATTTTTTTTCTTATCTGTACTTTGTATTTTTCTGTTTAAACTCAGATTTAAAACATCACACACTCATTCACACTGATAATCTAATCATTCTCTAAATGCAGATAGTTCTAGGACCTTGTGGCCGGCACTACCCTGTCACCCAGATGTGACTAGGAGCATCTTCCTCACCACCCCTTTCCTCACACTGTCCTGAGTCCCATGGCGAATCTTCCCTGGGGAACCCCATGGCATTCCACCCCCATGGAGCTGGCCCTCTGAGCGTGCTGGTGACACAATAATGGCTGTATCTCCTCCAGAACAATCCCAGAGGAGATATTTCCCATTGTCAGGCACCAGTGTGTGTGTATTTTCTCAAGTCGCCCTTTGTACAGACTGACGGAAGCGAAAGTGATTCTTTGGACACTAAAGTCAATTTGTCACAGTGATGCATTGATCTAATGATTGCCCTCATAAAACTAATTCCGAAATGTAGTCTACAAGGAACTTTAACTCTTCCTCCAGCTGTAATCTTTTAGCCTCTTCAAAAGAATACCCTTTGCTGGCTCTTTTGTGCTGGCTGTTTTGCAATGGCTCCTGGCCAAAAGCTACACGGCTTTGACCCAGACCTGAACCAAAGGTGTAAATGACCAATAATGACTAAACGCATTAATGTTCCTGGATGAGGTGCCCCTACCACAGGAATAATGAGCTTCCAAGATCTCTGCTTTCCCCAGCCCTCCACCCAGGCCCAGTCCCAGAGGAACCCCTGTGGCCTGGGACCGCCCCTGCCTGGTACTCTCTTGCCAAGATGACCCTTAGGTCAGCCCATGCCAGGAACCTCCCTGACCTGCCTTTACTTCCTGGCCTTTCCTCCTCATAGGTATGTGTGGGAGAAGGATGGGGCTACACTGGCTGTGGAGACCAATCCCCGTGTCCGCCTGGACAGAAATGGCTCCCTGCACATCTCACAGACATGGTCGGGGGACATTGGCACATATACCTGCCGGGTGCTCTCGGCTGGTGGCAATGACTCTCGCAGTGCACACCTGCGAGTCAGGTAAGGACAAAGGAAGCAACAATAGCAGTGGGGTGACTCAGAGCCAACCAGCTCCCTTTTGTCAGGACACAGGTCCTGTGTGACCCAGGCCTGCCCAGGTCCTGCAGGCCGTTCCCTCAGCTCATGAAGTCCCTGTTAGGAGCAGGGATCTAAGTCGGGCTGACTTGGGCTCCAGTTCCAGAAAGAAGACTCTATGTGTGGGTGACCAGAAGACACATGTTCTGTGTCAAGCACAAGTTATCATGGAAGTTCAGAACCCAACCTGAGTCCACAGTGCCCCATCCCCTGACTATGGACCACTCCGGGTGGCCCCTCCACACATGTCTCTCCTCCAGGCAGCTGCCCCATGCCCCTGAGCACCCTGTGGCGATGCTCAGCACTGTGGAGAGGCGAGCCATCAACCTGACATGGGCCAAACCCTTCGACGGCAACAGCCCTCTGATCCGCTATGTCCTGGAGATGTCAGAGAACAGTAAGGTTCCTGTACCCCTCAGCAGCTCACACGTGTGAGCTGGAGCCAGGCCAGAGTCTCAGCCCCTCGCTCGCTAGTCCCCTTGCCTGCCTTGGTTTCCCCACCTGTGAAGGGAGCCATGGCCATTGCCTGTCAGGCCATTGCTTGGGAGGGGCATACCACAGGGCCTGGCACAGCAGCAGCCTCAAAGACTGGGCTTGTTATTTGTGTTTTTGTGCTTATTCTCCAAGGTCCCAGGCTGTGAACTCCAAAATTATCGAGTATAATCTGAATAGTTCTCAACACACTTTGCCTAGAGCTCATCAATTTCAGGGAGAAAGATGAGGACATCTCATTTCCCATCAGCCCTTACTCCCTCCCTGCGCCCTCCAGCACCCGGGTCACATGGCTCACAGGACCTAGAAAAATGATGTGGTTCCCTGTACTGAGCCAAGTGATCAAGGCATTCCCTCTCCTGCCAGCCCAAGCAAGGCTGGCCCTGCTGGGAATGAAGGGTAAAAAGCATGTCCTGTACCCATTCCCCAAGATGGCCACCTCTACCCCCACCCTCTGTCCCTACAGATGCCCCCTGGACTATACTGCTGGCCAGTGTGGACCCAGAAGCCACCTCCGTGATGGTCAAGGGCTTGGTTCCTGCACGATCCTACCAGTTCCGTCTTTGTGCCATCAACGATGTGGGCAAAGGACAGTTCAGCAAGGACACCGAGAGGTGAGGGAAGGTCTCTGTGACTCCAGCTGGGGCAGGGGCAAAGGCAAGCCAGTGCCTGCCTCCAAACCAGCATGGAGAGTGGGGCTGAGCTGCAGAGCAAGTTCTGGCTCAGTTTTCCCCTCTGTATAATGGGGTAATAACACTCATGGTGACCACTCAAGGACAGTATGAAGATTAAATGAGATGACAGAGGCAGAGCATGGTGTATGATAAGCACAAACCAACTTGAGTCAAGTTCAAATACTTACCTCGTTCTGCTTCTGCTTCCCAACCATCATTATTAAAGGAACAGGAAGTTCCAGAGGAGTGCAAGGTCTTCTTCCATTGTCTAGATCCAATGTCTTGCCTGACGCCAGACCTTGGAAAGGTTCTAACTTTTATAAGACAATGGACATTTAATAAAACAACAGGTGATTCATATCAAAGCATCACACAGTAATATCCTCTTATATAGAGGGCAAATTCTATCCAACTCACCCCACAGAGTGAGCAGCCACCTCTAGTGGGAAAGAAGTCATCATGCAAGAGGTCAGAATGGCTGTGACTCAAAACACATGTCCCAAAGCTGTGCAACTGGGCTCTTCAAAAGATGCCCTCCCTGCACACCTGATGTGGTGGTACATGCCTGTAATCCCAGTACTCAGGAGACTAAGGCAGAAGGATACTGAGTTTAAGGCCAACCAAGGCCATATAATGAAACCCTGTCTCAAAAAAAAAAAAATGCCCTCAGCGCCTATAAAAAGAACCCCAGCTTCAGTCAATCGTGGTGGGTTTGCCAGAGTTCCTATAAGCTCAGATATCTGGCTTTCCCTATAGCAACCCCCCCAGGGAGAAGATGTTCCACTGGGAGGAAGGAGAGATGGGTTCCAGCGCAGCGTGGGGAGCAGTTGTAGGAGAATTGAGCTGCTCCCTGTTTATTGGGCACTTACTATGTGCCAGGCTGTGTTTGCCCCTGGAGGTGGCACAGTAAATAAGCAGACATGGCCCCAGTCCTTCAGAAGCCACAGAACCACAGCAGGGAGGCCTCAAGGCACAGGGGAGCCTGCCCTCCAGCTCCTCCCTACCCGCTGCCCACTGTGTTCCACTGACTCCCCTTCTCAATGAATCTCCTGGCTAATGGCTCTGAGTTACCAGGAAGAAAGGTTGTATCGCCCTCACCCAGGCCTTCCAAAAACATGGAGTATCCAGTTCCTTTTGGAAAGCTATCCATCAGAAAGCAAGAATATAAAAATAAACAAAAAGAGAAAGACATTCATCGAAAATAATTAACTTTTGTTTTTAATGGCTAAGTGTCAGTGATGTGAAAAATACACTTAGGAAGAACACTGTGTTCCCTAGTGGTGCCAGAGAAAGAAGGGTGGCGCTGGGCTCCAGGAGGGGGTGGGGGCCCTGGCTCCTTCCCCCACACCGTGCCCACCTGCCCAGCATGGGGCTCAGCTGGTCAGGTACCAGGGCAGAATTAAGGTCCACCCCAGAGGGCCAGTGGGAAGCAACTAATACTCCTAGAACATGGGCCATCCTTGACCACCTCAACCTCAACTGTAGCTTTCTTCACAAACTGCACCAAAAATACACGTTTGGTGTTTTCTAGTGGTTTGAAGACTCATATGTTGTATAATTTGAGCCCCAACCAGTCTTGTAAGGCAGGCAAGTGGGGCTTCATCGCACTTCTTTTACAGAAACAAGCTCAGAGACATTAAGTGACTTGCCCAAAAGCACACAGCAAGTGTGCAGAATCATCCAGGAACTGAGTAGGGCAGGATTGGCCTCTTCATGCCCCATTATACTCCTGTATTGTCCCTCAGAGACTGAGGGTAAAGGTCTGCCTGCTTTTGTTGTTCGCTGGTCTAGGGTTTCCCTCCCCGAGGAACCCCCCACGGCCCCTCCCCAGAATGTCATTGCCAGTGGCCGGACCAACCAGTCCATCATGATCCAGTGGCAGCCACCTCCTGAGAGCCACCAGAATGGAGTCCTCAAGGGTTACATCATCAGGTAGGTGTCACTCTAGCAGCAGGAGGGGCACAGGAGGGGGCAGCCCCGCCATGGGGGGGAAGGGGTGGCAGAAGATCAGGAGTGGATTGGAAAACAGAGCAAATTCATGGTAGATCCTTGCTAACAGGACCAGGCCACAAGAAATGCCAGGCTGTGGCAGGAAGGGTTTAAGTTAGACCTCTAGAACTTCTAGCAGCAACAGCCTTGCAAAACAACAGGAATGCTTGAGCCTCCAAGGCTGTGTGGAAGGCAAGGTTGTCTTGTGTCAGGGTGGACATAGGAACAGACCCACAGGGAAACAGAAGAAAGATGTGACTATCCCAGATCAAGCCCTGGGAGACCAAGAATATTCCATCAGGACCAGACTTCTTTCTAGAGGGACCATGAGTAGAGAAACTGATAAGGGAAGAATTGACCATAAAACTAAAGTCCTGTCTTTGGTTCTTGCTGGCAAATGAAGCCTGGTTATATAGACTTTTCTTTTCGCATTTGGCTGGGGTACTTTACTAGTAACCTCAGAAAGAGTTATGAGGGGTTACGGAAATACAGTATTCCTGAATTAAAATTAGTTCGATATTGGATATTGCCGGGAATACTCCATCCATATTCTGGATTCTGGTTGGCCACTCCACGAGTCTCCTTCCTGCACATGTCCACCCCTGGGTGGAAGTCTGCTACCTTTGCTGCTTCACAATCAGTCCATTTTGTTGTGGTTTTTGGTTTATCCTAAAGGGCAGTGGTTCTCACATTGGGTCCCCGTCCCAGCAGCATCAGTTTCACCTGAGCCTGGTCAGAAATGCACCTTCACTGGGTGCCAGTGGCTCACACCTGTAATCCTAGCTACTTGGGAGGCTGAGATCAGGAGGATTTCGGTTCAAGTTCAGCCCGTGTAAATAGTTTGATAGACGCCCCCCCCCCATCTCCAAAATGGACTGGAGGTATGGCTCAAGCGGTAAAGCACCTGCTTTGTAAGCATGAAGCCCTGAGTTCAAACTCCAGTCCCACAAGAAAGGAAGGGAGGAAGGAAGGGAAGGAGGGAGGGAAGAAGGAAGGAAGGAAGAAAGGAAGATACAGATACTCAGGCCTTCTCCCAGATCTACTGGTGGAAGCTTTGGGGGCAGCCCAGCACTCTGTGTTGTAAGGAGTCCTTCAGGTGATTCTGATGCACGCTCAGGTCTGGAGATCCACAGCTCTGGGGTGTTGGAATGCCTCTGGTTTTTCAATGGTTAGCCTCAAAGGTACGCATGCATTGTGGTTCTCCTCTGAGTTATCCATCCCCCATGCAGAATCTCTTCCCTAAATTTGTTTGTTTAGGTTCAGTTCTTTGTTACTCTGGGTTGGTTTCTGGTGGAAGGTAAACATGGGGACACAGGTAGCCCAGGTGTTTTTCAGTGCCCCTTGGCAAGGGAGCCACTGTCCTAGAGGAAGAAAAAAAGTGAGCCAGCCTTGGGGACTATTCTCCTATCATCACCTTCAAAGGCTGAGAGCTGTGACATCTTCCCCAGAGATTTGCAGCCAGCTAACCTGCCCACGTCCTCCTCTCCCATCAAAAATGGTCCTGACACAGCTCCTAGACCTGTGCTATCCAGCAAGATAACCACCAGTCACCTACGGCTACATATAGCAATTAAAATATACCAAAGTCACAGCCCCTTGTCCAGGAGAGTGTGATCAGCAGAATAACAGTCCACATCCTAATCCCCTAAACCTGTGACTATATGTGTCAAAAGGGACACTTGTCACCATATATAACAAAGGGGACCTTGCAGATGCAATTAAAGTTAAGGATCTAGGCAGGTATGGTGGTACACACCTGTAATCCCAGCTACTCAGGAGGAAGAGGTAGGAGGATCTCAGTCTAGACCCTACCTAAAAACAAACTAAAGCAAAAAGGACTAGGAGCATCGCTTGACTAGTAGAGCACCTACTTAGCAAGTATAAGGCCCTGAGTTCAAACCTCAGTACTGCCAAAATAAATAAATAAATAAAAACATCAAATTCAGATTCAGTCCCTCGGTTGCACTAAGCACATCTTGAGTGCTCGACAGCCACATCCATCAGGGGCTGCCTTGTTGGCAGCACAGATAAGGAAGATTTCCAGCATCTTAGAAAGTTCTAGTGGACAGCACTACTCCAGTTTCCTGGGCACTCGACTATGCAAGCTGACCCCAAATCCACTGCACCTGTGCCTCCTCCCGCAGGTACTGCCTGGCCGGGCTGCCTGTCGGGTATCAGTTCAAGAACATCACGGATGCTGATGTCAACAACCTGTTGCTGGAGGACCTCATCATTTGGACCAACTATGAGATTGAGGTGGCTGCCTACAACAGTGCCGGGCTAGGTGTCTACAGCAGCAAAGTGACAGAGTGGACACTGCAGGGAGGTGGGTGGAGACCGTGACTAGGAGCGGGCAGCTGAGCCCCTTTCTCCAGGTCCCAGGCCTGTCAGTCCTCCATCTGTCCAGTCCTGAGCACCCCAACCCATGTAGCCTTCATCCACCAGGCTTCCCCATTGTCCTTGGGTGGATTCTTCACCCTGTGCCTGGCACCTGCAGGGTGGGCTAAGGGGGAGACAAGGAGGTCAGGGGGAAAGGAAGGGGGGTTCCAGCTACAGGGACTTTCTGTGACACTCACAATGCCTGGATCATGGGACAACTTACATTGCCTGTTCTCCCTGAAACTCCCCAATCTTGCATGTGGATTTTGCATGTCTGTTACTTCATCAGTCAGTACCGTGAGAGGTGGGGCAAGCCGGTTTTATTTTCCCCGAATTAATCCAGAGAAAGAGGGCACTTACTTAGTGTACCGAGTCTACACAGCCAGAAAGGAGACAGCAGGGTGCAAAGCAGAGTCTTCAAACCCCCTCCCCATGTTTTCTCCACTGTGCTGGGCGAGGTAGACTAATGCCCCTCCCCCCACCTGTCTCTTGATCGCCTCTAGTTCCCACGGTCCCCCCAGGCAACGTGCACGCGGAAGCCACCAACTCCACCACCATCCGCTTCACCTGGAACGCCCCCAGCCCCCAGTTCATCAACGGCATCAACCAGGGCTACAAGGTATGAGTGGGGGGGGGGGTCTCTCCTCATCCAGGAGGAAGCCCTCGAGGGTCTCAGGAAAGTGGAGGCTGGGGAGGCAGAATGAAGGTCAGGGAAGGGGCAGGAGGTTCCCCTTCTGTTTCCGAAACTGGGAGCCCAAGCAAACTAAGGGTTAAAACAGAATAAAGGCAGAGGACGCATGGCCTTCCTCCAAGGCCACACCCAGACCTCAGGGACAGTGGACAGCACCCTGACTGCCAAAAGGGGCTGACCACCCAGCCACAAACAACACCTGGTCTATTCAGGGTCAGGACACCTGGGTGTCATCCTGGCCCATCAGAACAACCCAGCATTCACAGTGACAGCCACGGCCAGGCTCTGCTGAGCACCCTGGCTGACCACCCAGCCACAAACAACACCTGGTCTATTCAGGGTCAGGACACCTGGGTGTCATCCTGGCCCATCAGAACAACCCAGCATTCACAGTGACAGCCACGGCCAGGCTCTGCTGAGCACCCTGCTGGCCAGGTCTCCTCGGGCTGTACTTGACCCGCGCAGGGTGTGGTTGAGGGCATGGGATTCAGACTCAGGCAGACTTGGGCTAAAATCCTAGCTCCACCCCTTGCTAGCTACTGGACAAGTTCTTGTATGTGCCTGGACTTCAGTCCTTCCAGGCCCAGTAGGTACTTACTGAGCACCTGCTGTATACTCTGAGATAGCTGCTGAGGCACACAAACTCAGTTTCCTCATTTGGGACAGAAGATGTCAATAAGACCTGTTCTTTAGGGTGGTTTGAAGATTAAGTAAGATAACATCCGTAACCTATGACAGACGCAGAAAGAGATTTTGGTGGTATAATATTACCTTTTTTTTTTTTTTTGACCATGCTTGGTCAGAACTGTGCAATGAATCTGTGAAATAAGGCAGGTTTCCTGCAGTAATCACTTGTTTGCTAAGACTGGTCTCACAGAATACCACAGGCTGGGGTGGGGCTTGAACAGCAGAAATTCGTTTGCTTATGGTTCCTAGAGCTAGAACTCCAAGGTCAACGCGCGGGGAGGTTTGGTTTCTTGGGAGGCCTCTCTCTTTGGCCTTGGCTTGTGGATAACCATCTTCTCCTTATGTACAAGTGTGGTCTTCCCTCCACGTGTGGCTGTGCCATATTGCCTCTTCCTGTCAGGACACCAGTCACATTGGATTAAGGCTCACCCTGGTGACCTCCTTTAACTTCAATCATCTCTTTAAAGGCCCAGTTGCCAAAAAGTCACCTTCGGAGGTGCTGGAATTAGAAATTCAACAAAAGAATTTTTGAAGGCTACAGGTCAGCCCATAACAACCAATAATAGCCGTTATAGTGGCAGCTTGCAATGATTTTAACTGTGTTGAAAGTCCCCAAGGATCCCAAGCCTGGTTTCTCTTCTCCTCCCCCAACAAGCATCACACCTGTCCCCTGTAAGAACTGCAGATGGACCACAGAGTACCTGGTCTTCACCATATTGGAAAGGGCACTATTTTGAAAGGGCTGCCCCAAGTGGGTGTGGGCCATGGCCAGATGCCCTCTTCGCCATCTAGATGTGGGAACAGACACAGAGCATTTGGGGGCATGCCACTGGGAAGCTAATGGGTCTGAGTCTGCGTCCAGGGACCTGGTGACCTTGACGTGATGGCTGCCCACCTCCCAAAGCCTCCCGTTTCCCTTTGCGCAAGTGCCAGAGCCAAGATCATTTCTAGGACAGCAGCTTAGCCACTGTTACTGTAAGGTGGGGGAGGCTGGGCAGGAAGGGAATGAGATTCAGCTGCAGAGACAATATTCCTGCAGACAATAAGGAGTGGTGATCCAGAGCTGGACCCGCCAGCCACAGCCTTTTCACTCCCAAGAACCCAAAGCCAAGCAGAACGTTCCTGGGGCAGAGGGCAGCAGCCCAAAGCTCACACATCTGAAAATGGCTCCTAATTGGTACATGGGGGAGGTGGGGAAAAGGTAGAGGAAGAAAGGAGGGGCCAGCATGGCCACAGAGCGCAGGAGCCAAGCTGGGAACAATTAGCTTCTTGCTGCTAAGCCTAAGCACAGCTTTATTCTACATTTGGGAGGACTTAGCCATAAACTGCTAAGGCAAACAGCTCTCCAAGGGCTGGAAGGCCAGCCAGTGACCAGGACAACTAGGCCATTGGCCCTTGGTGACGCAGAGCCAGAGGGGGGCGACCCTCCCACCTGCTGACTCCCAGGCCCAGAAGCTACTCCCTAAAGGCCAGTGGTGTATGTTGCCCCATGTTTTGAGCACAGGAGCAAGTGGAAGAAGAAAAGGAAATCCTGTCTATGATCACTTTCTGTGTGCCAGGCAGCCTGCCAAACTCCCCTCACACTCTCTCCTGCAAGCTGCACAAGAACCCTAAGAAATGAGTATTAAATCTAGGTGAGGTAGCTCACACCAACAAGCCAGGTGTGGTAGTGCATGTCTGTAATCCCAGCTATGCTGGAGGATAGGTAAGGATAGCAGTCCTAGTCTGGTCCCAGGCAAAAAAGCACAAGATCCTCTCTGAGAAATAACCTAAAAGCAAAAAAAGGCTGGAGGCCTAGCTCAAGTGCAAAGCCTGCCTAGCAAATGCAAGGCCCTGAGTTCAAACTCCAGTAACTTCAAAAGAAAGAAAGAGAAAAGAAATACTGTGACCATTGCCCCACTTTCCAGAGGGAGAAACTGAGGCACCAGAGGGAAGTCACTTCTTCAAGGTCAGAGAAACTGCTCAGACTCAAAAGTTCAGATTCGAACCAGAGCCTGCACTTTTTGTTACATTAAAAAGAAAATAAATATTGGCTGAAGGCGTGGCTCAAGAATTAGAGCACCTGCCTAGCAAATGTGAGGCCCTGGGTTCAAACCCCAGTACCGCCAAGGAAAACAAGAAAATATATACGATATTAATGATAACTACAGCTTGGGTTTTTGCAGTAAAAATGAATAACAGTAGGGAATTCTTTTCCTGCTTCTTTGACCATCAGTGTTTCTATCACAGACAGGAAAAGAAGCAGTCCCTTGTACACTTGCAAGAATGGACTCCCTTCTCTTTTTGTTTGTTTGTTTGGGGGTTTTGTTTTTTGAGACACAGTGTCACTATGTCTCCTAGGCTGGCCTCACACTTACTGTGTAGCAGAGGCTGGCCTCGTGCTCTGCCTGCCTCTGACTCCTCAGTGCTGAGATTACAGACATGCACCACCACGCATGCTCCCTACTCTTTTAGTCTTGAAACTTTCCAAACATCTCCAAGAACAGAGGGACAACACAGTGAGCACATGTGCCCACCCCAGCTTCAGCAATTAGCAGCTCACAGCCAGCAGTGTCCTACCTATTCCCCGCATTCTTTCTCTCTTCCTGGAATGTCTTGACGCAAACCCCAGGCAATGAATTGTGTCATCCATGACTGTTTCTTTGAGTATAGTCATAGATAAAATCTCTATTTAAAACAAAACAGCCCCATTATCATGTCTACAGTTGTCAACAGTCCCTCTGATGTCATTAGATATCCAGACAACTTTCAATTTTTTTTTTGATAACCACATAATTTCTGCTACTGGTCGGTTTATTTGCTGCAGGAACTAAATGCAGTCAGCACAGTGGCAATCGGTTTATTTTTAAGGTCTCTGTTCTAGTTTCTTTCTCTCCCTTTTTTTTTTCTTGTAATTTATTTGGTGAAGAAACTTAGTGATTTGTCTTAGAGAAAATTCTACAGCCTGAATTTTGCTGATCACATCCTGTGGGGTTACTGAGCACATTCCTCTGAATGCTGTATTTACAGTAAATTGGAAGGTAAAGCTAGAGGCCAGTAAGATTCATCCAGCAAGTTTGAGGCCATCCTAGGAGATTCATCAGGTTTGATGGCCATTTATTTTTCCCAAATTATTGCATCCTAGATGGTGTTGTATATTTCCATCAAAAGTCACAAAGTCTGGGCCAGGCATGGTGGTTCACATCTGTAATCCCAGCTGCTGAAGACGCAAAATCGGGAGGATCACATGCCATTCAAGGCTAGTCCAGGCAAAAAAGTTAATAAGACCTCATTTCAACTAATAAGTCAGTGTGGAAACACATACCTGTAATCCTAGTTAAAAGGGAGGTATAAATGGGAGGATCGAGATACAAAGCCAGCCCTATGCAAAAACACAAAACCCTATCTGAAAAATAACTGGAGTAAAAAGGGCTGATGATGTGGCTCAAGTGGTGGAGCTCCTGCCTAGTATTAGTGCACGACCCCGAGTTCAAACCCCGATTCTATCAAAAAAAAAAATGGCACAAAATCTGGCTGTCCTCTCTCTCTCTCTCTCTCTCTCTCTCTCTCTCTCTCTCTCTCTCTCTCTCTGAGATTGGGGGCCATTGACAGCCCTTGAATGACCTGTCATCTTAATAGCAAATCAAAACGGAGATGGACAAACACTGTCATTTTCCCCGGGTTTATCAGCTGAAATTTTTTTTTAATTTCCTGTTTATCAGCTGACTACCTGAACATGGAGTTCATTTGGGAAAAGCTCCAAGCTCCAATCTTCCCCATTACTTACCAGTGTAATGACTTGGTCCCTCAGCACCTCCTAAGGTGACAGTGAACTTGGGTTGGAAGGGGTGTCTTTTGGTTTGGTTTGGTTTTGCACGTACTTGGGGATTTTTACACCTCTGGCATCTTTAGTTCACTGTCATTATTCTTCTTGATAGCAAAAGGACATCTTCACATTGGCTCATGGGTCCTTGGACATGGGCCCAGGAGTCTTGATCACCTCCTTGCCGTCTGGCAGGACAAGATGTTCCAAGCTAAAATGTCCTTCCTCATGCTGAGGACCAGCCTTCTCTTCGAGGGGCTCTGCTTCCTTGTAGAAGTCAGTGATGGCTAAATATCACAATCGGACCCTGGGGCGCTGGCTGCTCCCAAATGGTTATTGTTAATGAGCCTGTTAGTGACCAGCTAGGAGGAAATGCTTTTTTTAAATATAATCTACATACTGATGCTTTCCAGGACTGTAAGCTTTTCAGTAAGCTCATTGGCCTTTTCTGTATCTCTTTTCTCCATACTGAAAACCCAGTTCTACACCAGTCACATACTCCCTGACTGCTTCACCCCACAAACGCACACCAGAACAACAGGTGGATATGAGGATCACTGAAAACAGCTTCAGATTACCCTTTCTGCTCCCAGGGTGTGTCCCGGTGATGGCACGTAGCACAGCTGTGCGATGGCGTCTTTTGAAATGCTTTCTCTCAGTAGAATTTTGCCCTGCTAGGTTCATTGGCTTCATTTCAGTTTCGATTTTTAGGGATTGATTTTTTTAATTTAATTTTGTTCTATAATTAGGTAGAAAATTTACATGGTTCCAAAGTCAAATCTACAAAGCAAATTTCAAAAAGCAAACAAACAAAAATAATCAGCCTTAACCTGAATCCTCTCCCTCTACCAGAGGCTGAAGTGCTTTTGTTTGGGTTGTTCTGGTCTTTTCTTTCTACTTCTTTAAAAGCAGGTGCATGGATGTATATAAATGTGTGTCCTCCCCTTGGTACATAAATGACAGTGTCTTCCCCACACTTTTGCTCCAGACTTCATTTGTTCTTTTTTTTTTTTTTTTTTTTGTGGCACTGGGGCTTGAACTCAGGACCTCATGCTTGCTAGACAGGTGCTCTACCACTTGAGCCACTCCACCAGCCCTGTTTTGTATTGGGTATTTTCAGCTTAGGGTCTTCTGAGTATTTGGCCAGGCTGGTTTTGAACCATGACCCTCCTGATCTTTGCCTCCTGAGTAGCTAGGATTACAGGCATGAGCCATCAGCCTTGTTCATTATTTTTTTTAACAGACTATTCTGGTGGTCATTCCATAGGACCAGCCTTCCTCCATTTTTGCATCTGAATGTATTCCAGCATATAGTTTGGTCAACCAGCCCCTCGACATGCCATTTAGCTCTTCCCAGTCTTTTCCTATGGCCAGTCTTCGGCTATGTTAACTTTGGACGCAAAAAGAGACAGAAGGAGTCAGGGACACGGCTGTGACCCCAGTGACCACTTTCTCTAAGCAGGCCCTGACTCCTAATAGCCCATTCATCTATGAATTCATTAATGGATTAATCCATTGATTACATCAGAGCCCTCATGATCCAAACCCCTCTCCAATGTTGGGTCCACCAGCTGGGGACCAAGCCTTCACCTTTTTCTGTTTTCACAGTATACCTTTGAAATACACTCCTGGAAGTGAGATTGTGGGCTCAAAGGGTAAATGTGCATATAATTCTACTACTTTTGTTAAATGATCTCCATTTGATTTATTTTATAATTTTTATTTTTAAACAGGAAGTAGATTTATAAGATTCTAAAGGTAAACTTACAGCTGAAAGCTTCTATGCCACCCTAATCCTCCACCTGCCTGATTCTACTGCACCAACCCCAAAGCTCTCTGCATCTAAGTGGCCAGTATTATTGGCTCCTTGCATGACCTTCACAATGTTTTATGTGACTCCATGTGAGCACAGAGAGATAGAAGGGGGCGAAATATTGATTTCCCCCCTTCTTGTGTTTTAACCCCAGCAGCTAGAGGTCTCTATGCTATCCACCTTCCAGCCCTGAAGAGCTGCTTCTGCTGAGCACAGGAGCAGCCCCACCTCCTCTGCTGCTCCCATAGCCTCGCAACGTGGCCAGTACTATCCCCTATACCAGCCCGGGGCTCAGAAAGTTTGAATGGCAGAGCTGCACTCAGGTCTAGGTGTGCCAACTGGGAGAGTGTTCTTCCTCTCCACGTTAGCTACACATTCCACGTCCCCACTCCAGTCTACCCCAGCCGGAGCACTGCCCTCAGTTGCCAGATGGGGCCTCTGCTCCCTAAAGGAGCTGCCTGTTTCATTGTGATAGTTAGCTTTTCATTGCTGTGACAAAGTACTTAAGAAAATGACTTAAGGAAGGAATGATTTGGACTCCTGGTTTGAGAGTTTCAGGCCAAGGGCAACTGGCTCCATTGCTGTGGGCCTGAGGGGAGGCAGAGAGCATCATGGTGGGAGTATATGGAGGAGCACAGCTGTGTACTTCATGGCAGCCAGGAAGCAGAGAGAAACAGAAGGGGCCAAGACCAAGATGTGCTCCTTCACCAGAGGATTGACCAACTTCCTCCAGCTAGGCCCCGCCTCCTAACAGCCCCTTCGGCTATGAGCTCATCAATGGATGAATCCATTGATTAAATCAGAACCCTCATAATCCAAGCCTTCTCAGTGACTGGGTCCACCAGCTGAAGACCAAGTCTTCAACACATGAGCCTTTTGACACCTCAGACACAAACCATAACCAGTTCCCAGGAGCCTTGGGAACTTCATCACCCTACATTAGCTCATAGCAAACATTTTGAGGCAGCGTCAGGAAGCCAGGGCCCTGCCACCATGTTGGTCATCAGGTATGGAACTAAAGTATCATCGTCAGTCAATATTGTCAGTCCTCCAAACCCCACTGCCCTCGTCATGTGCACCCCCTGCAGGTCAGTTTTGTAGATAAGGCCCAATGACACTGTTTTAAGACACCTGAAAAGACACTCTTTTTCCTTTATTAAAAAAAAAAAAAGATAGTGATTGTAATTAGCTTAAGCCCAATAAAATAATATTTACCCAAATTTTACACTTACAGGGGAACACTCCAAACAATTAATTCCAACAACATAATTAATTCAAATTTACATTAATTAAATTAAATTAAAACATTAAACTCATTTCTTCATCTACTCCTATGAAGTTGGGCAATTTAATTGCTCTGAAACGAGATAACCGAAATAAAGAGGGTATTTAACATACTTATTAAATCCCACTTAGTATTTCTGATTGGTATTTTTAGGGTCTAATTAGTGTCTAATTAACTTGCTATAGGCTATCTTTTCACAATACCAATTAAATTTCAAAACATCCTTTATAAACACACGGCCCTGAAAAGGAGAAGATTAAGCATTGTTATAGGCGTGAGATAATCAGGAGACATTGGTGTGGTATTGTTTTTTATCTATAAATACCCTGCTTATTAAAACTCATCAAGTGTAGCTTTTCACCATTAATTGCTATTTAATCAACTTCAAATAAATGAGGAAATCTCTGAGACCAGCTGTCATTGTTGGAGACAGCTGAAGAGCCCAGAAAACAAGCACAGGAGGTGAGAGCAGGAGGTAGGACACGGAGGAGGGGAGACAGCAGGCCTATGAGAGGAAGGTGCAGGAGAGAAAGAGATGGGGTTCCAGATGGCGTGGTGCTGACTCGCCACCTCTAGGTGATGTTCAAGGTGGAAATCCCAACTTGGAACAAGTGTAGGAGGATGGGAGTCATCCACAACTAAATTTCCCAGCTCTGTGGGATGCAAGCCTTAGAGAACTCCAAAGGTGACAATGCCCCAGCCCATGGGGAAAAGGTGTAAGATCCCAGGGTTGGAATCTAAGAGCCTCCACTTCCCCCAGGGCTGGGTGACATAGTGTGAGTCACTCAGCCTCTCTGAGCCTAAGTTTCCTCAATTGTAAAATAAAGGGCTGTCCTCATGGGTGTGCAACCTGGCAGTTGCCTAGGGATCCAGGCTTAGAAGGGCCCCATGCTTGGCTAAATGCTCTCTGCTGTCATCTGGAAATAAATTTTGAGGTGGGGGGGGGCTCTGTTTTCATTTTGTACCAGGCCTGCAAACCATGAAACCGGTTCTGGTTAAATGCAACTTTCGTAGGGTGGCTGTGAGAATGGGTGACAAGTTCCTATGGGAAGCATTGAGCACTGTGCCCTGCCTGAAGTCAGAGGCTTCAGAAGTGGACCAGCACAGCACATCAGGGTGAATACAGGAGGAACAGGGCTCCAGTGGCCTGAGAGGCAACCAGCTCTGTTGCTTCCTTTCCTGGGACAAGGTACCACAGGGACTGGGCTCCTGACACTGTGCCTTGGCCCAGCCTGTGGCAGAGGACTTGGCCTCTTTTGGAACATGCTTGCTGGTCTCTCCCTAGCTGATCGCCTGGGAGCCAGAGCAGCAGGAGGAGGTCACCATGGTGACTGCCCGGCCCAACTTCCAGGACAGCATCCACGTGGGCTTCGTGTCAGGTCTGAAGAAGTTCACTGAGTACTTTACTTCTGTACTCTGCTTCACCACCCCAGGGGACGGGCCCCGCAGCAGCCCCCAGCTGGTGCGCACTCATGAAGATGGTAGGTGCCACCGGTCCCCATGCTCCATCCCCACCCACCCTCTCCAGGGCAAGGGTGCCTTGCTCTGGCTCTAACAGGCACTGGGCGGGTGGGGGGCCTTCTGGGGAACAGTGCCAGGGCCCGTGGGACACCTGAGCTTCGATGACATCCTGGACACCTCACTGAAGGTCAGCTGGCAGGAACCGGCGGCGAAGAATGGCATCCTCACAGGTAGGCACCCAGGGCTCCCGAACTGGAGGGTGGGATGGGGAAAGGTCACCTGTCACTCAGACCTCCAGCGGACCTACGCAGAGGAGGGTCTTGGCACCTCCGTTCTGCAACACATCTTAGCATGTGCAGTCCGGGACCCCAGGTGTCTCTAGGATGTCTCTCCTATAATCCCAATCCACGGGTAGCATCCCATGAGGCAACAGAGCAGAAGACCAGCATCTCCTAAACCGAACCAAATTGTGAGAAGTAGAGCAAGGGTCAAGGCCAATATATGGTCCCAGCCCAGCTCATGTCACCACTGTGGGCTCTTGCCAGGGTACCGGATCTCCTGGGAGGAATACAACCGAACCAACACCCGTGTGACTCACTATCTGCCCAATGTGACCCTGGAGTACCGTGTGACAGGCCTCACTGCGCTCACCACCTACACCATTGAGGTGGCCGCCATGACTTCCAAAGGCCAGGGCCAGGTGTCTGCCTCCACAATCTCCTCTGGGGTGCCTCCAGGTAGGTGCCTCTGCCAGGGAGACCCTGGCCTCTGTTGTTCTTGTGAGCAGCATCTTGTTGAAGAGGGACCCTGTCTTGCAGGAATGCTGGCCTTTATTCGGCAAGGCTCCATGGGCCCAGGGTCCTCCCTTGAGCAGGTTTGGTTCCCAGGACCCCTGTGGCTCTGGATGGAGGCTTCTGGCTTGCTGCTATCTTCCCTGTCCATAGTTCACTGCATAGCAGAGGCCCCTGGAGGACACTGTCCTGGTCTCATCTGCCCTACTGTTCCCTTCCTATACCATGCTCCACACTGGGCAATGGTCACTGTGATTCAGGAGAATTCTCACTGTCACCCGGAAAGTCCAAATTGGACCAGCTGTGCAAGAGATGGCAGAGGACGCTGGGCATAAACAAACAGCAAGCTGGAGTCTAGTCTCAGCCCTGCCTCTGACAAGCTCTGTGACTTAGAGCCGGTCAAGTGTCCCCTGTGTCCCTCAGTTTCCCCACCTGGACTAGATAACCACGTGGCATATCAGTAAGGCTGTGCTTGTGTGACCTGGTCATCATCCCTGTACCTGCTGATTGAGATGTCTGAGGTGCCTGAGGTTCAGTCAACTCCCAATGGCGATACATATCCATGAGAAATATTTACACAGTGCTGACCACACCTGGAGCTAAGGGCTTTCACTGCCTCCTCACAATGACCCTGAAGTAGGTATTGTCGTTAGCACCTCCATTTTACTAAGGCACAGAGAAATGGTAACATGCGCAAAGACACAGCCTAGGAGTGGTGGAGTCAGATTCAAATTACACAGTCCAACTCCAGAATCTGTGCTCTTACTGTTCATTCTGAGACTCAGAAGCCCCAGGGTTCCTGATTAGAAAAGAGGAGGTGCTTCCTGCCCCCCTCTGTCCCTCATCTACCTCAGCCATTATTGGGTATGGAGGTTTCTCTCTGAGCCTAGCTGATGAGGCCTCATGACCACTTCTCTCACACCCAGAATGGCCAAGGGACGTCCTTGGCATACATGGCCCTGTTTGCAGAGGTCCCCTCTGCCCCCCAGATCTGTCTCAGCCTCCTGGGGTGAGCATGGCTCTCCACAGGACACAGGTGCATGGCAGATGTTGGCATAGGAGGCCTTGGCCATCCTTTTGCTGAACCATCTACAGGAGCAGTGGGACACACAGCCCCCTCCTTGCCCAAACATCCTGTTTCATGTGGAGCCACACTCTCACCTGATCTCCTTTCCTACCCTGTTCTCCTTTTCAGAGCTCCCTGGTGCCCCCACCAACCTGGGCATTTCCAACATTGGCCCCCGTTCTGTGACCCTGCAGTTCAGGCCAGGGTACGATGGGAAGACCTCCATCTCCCGCTGGCTGGTGGAGGCCCAGGTAAAACCTGCTGGAGGGGAGCCCCAGGGACCAGAGAGCCCCCCACTACCATCCAGGTCTGGGACAGACCCACATCAGGGTGTTTTCAGTCAATGTGAATTTTCGTGGCCAAATAGAGGTGCTCCTCCACTTATGATGGGGTTACATTCCCAGTACATCCATCATAAGTTGAAAACAGCATAAATCAAAAGTGTGTTTAATGCACTAACTTACTGAAAATCCCAGCCCCACTCAGCCTACCTAAAACCTGGCCAGAACTCCATTAACCTGCACTTGGACATTGAGCCCTGGGAGGGAAGATCGGACTGCATATGGCTAACCCTGGATAAGACCAAAATTCTGGAAAGATTCCCAGAAGGTCTTTCTATTTACATTGGCACCAATGTAAACTGAAAAATTATTAATTTGAACCATGGTGAATTGGGGTCCATCTGTACACCAAAAATGCCCACAGCGCCCTATCCTGTCTCCACAGCACCTCACCTGTGCATATAAGAACACCCGCACACAATCCCCTCCAGGGTCTGGTAGGGGAAAAAAAGCCAGTGGTTGTGAGCCCTTGGCTCTCTCAGGGCTCATTTGGTGGTTCAACCCCTGTTCCCCTCCCAGAAATTCAAATTTAGCTGGTCGAGGGTGAGAAGCACCCCAGGGTGTTAGGGAGACTGTCCTCTGGAGTTTGTTAAAAGTGTGAATTACTGGCCCTGCCCCCAGGGATTCTGATTGACTGGGTGTGATGTGGTGTTTGGAACTAGCATTCAAGGGGCTCTGATGCAAGATGGCTCAGAGTCGTACCTGCAGTCTTGTTTAAGGGCCTGGAAAGATGCTGGCCCATTTGGTGTCCTCCAGGTGAGTCCTGGGATTTGGACCAAGACCTTCTCTGGGCAGAATAGTGTCTTCTAGGAGCTGGGGCTCAGAGCACCCCACCTCAGCCCTGCAGGCTGGACAGGTCTAAAGGTCCCCCTTTTCCAGGTAGGCGTGGTCGGGGAGGGAGAGGAGTGGTTGCTCATCCACCAACTGAGCAATGAGCCAGATGTGCGCTCCTTGGAGGTGCCTGACCTCAACCCCTTCACTTTCTACAGGTAAGGCATGGGGTGAGTGAGGTCTGCCCCCCTGGAGCCGGGGCTGACCCTGGAGTCCTCCCTCACCACTTTGTTCATCCCTTCCACCCCACCCAGTTTCCGAATGCGCCAGGTGAACATTGTAGGCACTAGCCCACCCAGTCAGCCTTCTAGAAAGATCCAGACCCTCCAGGCACCCCCAGACATGGCCCCAGCCAACGTAACTCTGCGCACAGCCAGTGAGACCAGCCTGTGGTTCCGCTGGATGGTAAGACTCCCTTGAGGGCAGTGGGGTGGGTGTCTCTCAACCTTGGCCACCCTACACAGCTGCTGTCATGCCTCAAAGTGGGCACACGTTGAATGTCTATGCTTCTTTCTCTTTAATTGCTTAATTTTTAAAATTTTTTTCTTTTTTTTCTTCTTTACTTACCTAGTAAAGAACCTAACAGTCAAATGTAGCCAAATGAAGAAATAAGCCCCTTGAGAGGAAGGAGTTTAAAAATTGCTGTTTAGTGAGCATTGCCAAGTGTCAAGCATTTTAAATTTAATCCTCCCAGGGACTACAGAGGATATAACATCATCCCAATGTACAGTTAAGAAAACTGAGGCTCAGAGAAGTTAGGAGCCACACAGCTCCCATGCTCTATCAGAGAATAGGCACCTGCTTGCTGCTAAGGTGGAGGTGGCCTGGAAGGGGCCATCAGGCTCTCCAGACAGTCTCAGAGCTCAGGGCTATATGTTGACGGTCATTACCAAGGTGGCCCTGCATGAGGTAGCATGCTAGCACACTGAGGCTTCCTCTCTTGCCAGACGCTGCCCTGGGTGCTTTATTCCAAGTCCAGTGCTGAATGCTCTCAACAGGCCCAGGACCGCACATCCTTCCACACTCCCACTTAACAGCAGGACTGGGATTCCGCCCAGAGTCTGCACCCCAAAATCCACAGCCCTAGCCACTAAGTGCACTGCTGTCTCCCAGGACCAGCGATGCCCAGAATCACTGAAGCTTCAGTCCCCCGAGGCATGTGGAACAAAGGAGAATTCCTAGACACAGAATTATGGGGAGCTGCCCGTACCCCGAAATCCTGGCATAGGGGAGATCCATCCTGACAATGCTCCACAGGCTCCTCTGAGCACACAGCTCTCCGTCTCCATGGAAGATCTCTCACGAGTGTGCAAGACACAGTTTGCAAAAAGGCTCACCCGGTGAGCCAGGTGTACCTTGGAGCTGTGATGGCCATCGCTGAGAGGGACAGCCTGAAGGGGATGGCCTGTGGCTATGAGAGCCCCTGGCACCATCAACCCTCCATTAACATTGGTTATCAATTATGGCTTCCCTCCCAGGTGGCAGGTGCCCAGCAGCACTGCCCTTCAGAACAGTGCAGTAGTCCCAGGCACTGTGGATAGGTGGGCAGGCACCTAGGCAGCTTTTTTGGACCTCCGCTGCAGCCTCTGCACCACCCCCTGCTGGCCCAAACTTACCTATTGACTCTCACTTGAAGCTTTCCAACATCGAAGGTTAGATGGGGGTGGGGGAAGAGAAGACAGTAGCTGTGCCTTGCAGCCCAGCACCTCTCAGGCCTGCTTAATGGTGCATGGCCCGTTACCTCTCCTTAGCAGGTAGGAAAGCCCCATTCCAGTCCCGTCTCAGGCTCTCGGGTCATTGATTGCTGTCTTAATGGCCTCTGGTCCCTCACTAAGTGTCTGTGGAGGGGTGGGAGAGAGGGTGAGTGGAGCAGCAGGAGCTGGAGGGGAGGGAGTGAATAAAGTGGGTCAGAATACGGTGAGCTGTGAACTGTAGACCTTTAGAGCCTTGAGAAGTAAAATGGGGGAAGAGAGGCTGTGGACGCCCCGGCTCCACTCTGTCCCTTTCAGAGGAGGAGTGAAAGTCAACGGCTCTCCCAGTGAACTGCCCCTCCACTGCCTACCAACACTGTCCAGGGTCATCCAAACAACCTTGAACTGGTGACCGCAGGCCCTCCAGCCCAGACCTAAGACCCAGAAAAGGAATCTGCCTTTTATCTATGGCAAGACTCAAACCAGAAGGAAGCTAAAGATGCAGCAGGTCAGGCTGAGGCTTGCTGGATAACAGGACTTCCTGGCAGTGACAGAGGCCCTTTCTGCTTGCCCACTCCTCCAAGGGCAGCATGAGCCAAGTACAGGTGTGGTAAGCAATTAATAAAGTGTGCGTTGGCAGCCTGAGACAGGGAGTCAGGCAGGGGTGACAGCCAGAGCCCATGCTCATGACAGTGTTGGATAGGTGGCCTTTGAGCCTCCTGAAAAGGACCATCTCCCCGAGTAGGGGAGTAAAGAATGAGGCTGCTTCTCCTTGCAGCCTGGAGTAGAGCTGGGACCATCAGAAACACAGCGTTACCCAACCCAAGCCACACCCCGAGGGAGAGAGCACCTGTCACAGACGTGGACAGCTTAGACTTCAGGTGGTGGGCTGGGTCCCCTCAAAGGCTCCCTGGAAAAGGAACACAAGCCCCCCCCATCCCAGGCAGCCCTTCCTGGACAGGGTAGCCTCCCTCACATCACCTTCCCCCTCCCCCATCCCCACCTTGGTATAGCCTCTCCCAGAGATGGAATACAACGGGAACCCTGAGTCTGTGGGCTACAAGATCAAGTACAGCCGGTCAGATGGCCATGGGAAAACTCTGAGCCACGTGGTCCAGGACCGAGTGGAGCGGGAGTACACCATTGAAGACCTGGAGGAGTGGACAGAGTATCGCGTCCAGGTCCAGGCCTTCAACGCCATTGGAAGTGGACCCTGGAGCCAGATGGTGGTGGGCAGGACCCGGGAATCAGGTACTGCTCTATCTCTCTGCCCTCAGGGCCATCCGATTGAACAGGAGGTTTTGAATTGCACACAAGGCTGTTTCCAAAGACAGCCCGAGCAGCTTCTCCTGTGCTTGGAGCACTGCAGAGAGCCCTGCCATATTGCCATATCACCAAGGCCCCCAGTGCCTGCTCCTCCTCTGTGACTGTTCCCACTGTCAGGGACTCTGTAGAATACCAAGCTGTCTGACTATCCAAACTGCCCACCTCCCACTCCTCAGCTTTAATCCTGACATTAGTGGTGCCTGAAGGAACCTGAGATGGAGGTTCAGGGAAGGATCCACTCTCCAAACATTCCAGAAACACAACCAGAAGCTCCAAGGGGCCTAGCAAGGGGTCATCTACAGACCATGAGCCCAACCTAAAAGCAGCCCTCATTTGTCCACATGTGGTCCGCAGCCCTGTGACTTTTATCTGGCACCTTTTAAATGACAGGTGGAGGGCTGGGCATGGTGGTACATACTTGTAATCCCAGCTACTTGAGAAGTAGAGACAGGAAGATCAAGGTTCAAGGCCAGCCTGGGTAAAAAGTTAGCAAGATCCTATTTCACAAATAAGCTGGGTATGGTATCACACACTTGTAATCCCAGCTACTCAAGAGATGGAAATAGGAGGACCAAGGTCTGAGGCTAGACCAGGCAAAGTTATAAGACCCTATCTGAAAAGCAAACTAAAAACAGAAAGGGTTGGGGTGTGGCTCAAGTGGTACAGTGCTTGCCTAGTGAGTCTGAGGTCCTGAGTTCAAATCCCAGGACTGCAAAAAAAAAAGGGAGGAAGGGGGAGAAAGGGAGGAAAGAAGGGAGGGAGGAAAGAAGGGAGGGAGGAAGGAAAAGGAAAGAGGGAAAAAAAGAAAATGACAGGCAGCTCTCTTGGCATTCCTAGTCTCCCCATCCTACCCCTCCTGGCTGTGCTGGCAGGAAATGCAAGCTCATCTAAAGACGGTCTGAGCAAAGAATAATGAGGGAGGCGAAGCTGAAGCCAGACACAGAGTTGGTGACATTCCAAGCCCCGAGCCATCCTAGAAGGATAATTTGCAATTTGGGGACCAGCTGTACCATGTTTTCTTCCATACATAGAGCAGACAGCATCAAGCTGACTCCTCTCTTGGCCCATGTCCTGCTCCACCCCCTCCACTGCAGGAAGGACTTGGGGTCCTCAGTTCCTTTTCTCCACCTGTCTCCCACAGTCCCGTCCTCTGGTCCCACCAACGTGTCCGCACTGGCCACAACCTCTAGCAGCATGCTGGTACGCTGGAATGAGATCCCTGAAGCCGATCGCAACGGGCTTGTGCTGGGCTACAAGGTGTGTCTCTGCATCAGAGGCGGGTGGGCTCCCTGTCTTTGTCACCTTCTGGATCTCTGCTCCCTATAGTAGACACTAAAAGATCTGCCCAACCTCCCACCCACCTGTCACCGCAGCAGCCAAGGAGCCTCCTTTAGGGGTGGAGAGACTTCCAGTGAGTCCCAGGGTCCTTGGAGCTATGCCCCCTCTCCCCAGAGGCCATACTAGGCAGCCCAAGCCTCACTCTCAGCCCCCCGATGGGCCCAGTTTTGGTTTCTGTTATGTTTTAGATTCCTCTTAAAGCTGGGCCTAGCCATAAGGTCCTGCCCTGGCCTACAAGCTGGGAGACATGGGCTGATGTCTGCCCTTACTAGCTCTGTGACCTTGAGCCTGTCTTCCCACCTGGATGCCATTAAGGGACCTCTGGCTCTATAGCCAGTCTATCTTTGTGTCCCAAGCCCTCCAAGAGCACCAGCTTTGAAATTACCCCACGTTCTCTTGGGGCCAAGCCACTCCAAGAAGCCTGAGTCTGCCTATCCCATACCCCTACCCTGGATTAGACCCAGGACAAGTACTAGCAGGGTGAGACCCAGGACTGAGGCCCTTACCTGTGCTGGGCCCTGGCAGGTGATATACAAGGAGAAGGACGCAGACTCCCAGCCCAGCTTCTGGCTGGTAGAAGGCAACTCATCTCGCAGTGTCCAACTCACAGGCTTAGGGAAGTACGTGCTCTACGAGGTCCGGGTGCTGGCCTTCACACGCGTGGGGGACGGCAGCCCCAGCCACCCTCCCGTACTGGAGCGGACGCTGGATGATGGTAAGTTCAAATCTCAGTTGACCCACGCGAGACGGAATGAGCAGCCTTCCATCCTGCCCCGCAGCCTCACCTCCTGGTGCCCTACCCTGCCCCAGAGAGAGGAAGCTATGACCTCCAGCTCCTCCTGTGGTCACTAGGGTCTACTAACCCCTCTGTAAGAGGGTGCTAATCCCTAAGGAAGAAAGGACAACACGAGGGCAGTTGGACATCTGATTCCACTTTCTTGGTCCCTCTCGGGATCAAGTACATGGGACAGGTTCACTTTGAGTTAAGTCTTGATTTTTCCTGGACTCCAGCCTCCTGGTCCTGTTTGCAAAAGAGCGACATCTGCATTTATCCCTATGACAAAACTCGCCATCCCAAGCTGACGGAAAGGCCCTCTGCCCTTCCTTCTCCCCATGGCCTGCCCACCGCAAAGATTTGCAGGGTCCAGAAAGGAGTGCAAAAGCCCAAATAGCATATGTCTATATATTCTAGAGTTATAAATCTAGCTAATGAGCTGTTAAATTAAATATGTTCTATCCTCCTGCCTTGACAAATATACCCATATAATGACCGAGAAGGTCACATTCACGTTTACAGATCTCAGGCTCCTCGGCATTCTGTACTGGAATAAAGCATCACAGGGGACGCCTCCCCACCCCTGCCAGTCACTGCTCCCCCTACCCTGGTCCCTCCATGTCCTACCCTCTCCCCTCATCCTCCCCAGTCTCCATCCACTCCTCTAAAACAGCGGGCCCCTTGGGTCCCTAGGCTGAGGGGCACACAGCCTGCCCTAGGGCAGTAGATCTGGGGAGTGGGCCCATGCAGACCCTGGAAGTATGCTTGGGACTGTCTGGAAAGGAGTTTTCAGGATCCTAGGATTCCAGAGTGAGATCTGGAGAGAGAGGTCATGGAGGCTCAGGGAGAGCTCTTCCCTTGGCCACCTTACCCAGCAGGTGGAGAGAAGTCAGGGCAGAGCTTTCTAAGTTGGGGCTGGGCACATGGCTCAGTAGGAAAGCACTGGCCTAGCATGTGCAAGACCCTGGGTTAGATCCTTAGTACCGCAAAAATTAATTAAAAATAAAGCACAGATTCAGGTCAGAGCCCATTTGCCCAGTTCTAAGAGTGTGTGCACAGACAGTGAGTCCAAAGAGGCAGGAACCTTGGGCCCCTGCCACATAATCTCTATTCAGAGGGTAGAAACCTTGTTGATTTTATTTTTCCCATCCCTGGCTCCTAACCCAGTGCCAGGCTTGGAACACTGCACCACACCCACTGAGCTGGACTGAGCCCTGGCTCCCCTGCCCCCGCTGGGCTGCTCTGCTAGAGCTGAACTTGGCTTGGGGCTGAGCAGCACCCTCCCTGTCAGCTTTTCCCCCTCTGTCCCCTGCAGTCCCAGGCCCGCCCATGGGCATCCTGTTCCCAGAGGTGAGGACCACATCTGTGAGGCTGATCTGGCAGCCCCCTGCTACACCGAACGGTATCATCCTGGGTAAGCATGCCTTCTCCTGTGCCATGTCTGCAGGAAGGAGACTGCATAAAGGATTGTAGAGACACCCTCATGTTGACAAGAGATGGGATAGGCCCAGGAAGTGCTCACATATCTTCTTATGAATGGGATCTAAGTTATATTTCCCGTTTGACGTTTCTGCCTATAACATTATCTGCTGGAGGGCAAGGTCAAAGTTCAGGTCCCTTAAGGACCATTGGCTGGGTTTGTGCCTCCAAATGCCTAGAGTCAGCTGACCAACTGGTAGACCTCAGTGGCTCTCCCCTAAGTGGGGCCAAGTGAGGGTGCACTGCTGGGGAAACAGGGAGGGCAATCTGCACAGATCAGAAATTTCTCTTCACATTCAAGTTTCTCCCCAGTGCATACACCCAAGTCAAAGGCAGCAGCTCTGCGAACTTGAACAAGTCTGCTTCCCACCATGGCATCAGCCCCTCACTTTTACATTAATGGCTTAGCTGCTGGGCGTGTTGGAGCCCACCTGTAGTCCCAGCTACTGAGGTGCTGAGACAGGAGGATCAACTGAGCCCAGGAATTCGACGACAGCCTGGACAACATAGAAAGGCCCTGTCTGCAACAACAACAACAAAAAAATTAAAAATACACTCAGGAGACTGAAACAGGAGGATCTTAAGTTTGAAGCCAGTCTGGACCCTGTCTCAAAGAAAAAAATTTTTTTAATTAAAAAAACTAGAAAGTATGCACACAAATGGTGGCTTGGCCTATGTGTTCCAGGGTCTGGGTTCTGCTCTCCTGCACACCCACCCAGGAAGCATGCCATGTCTCCAGAAGACAGAGTGACAGAGGTGTCAAGTGCTTTAGTACTGAAAGGTCGTCTGTACTTCTAGCTCAGCCACTTGCTAGCAAATGGTCTGGCTTCTTCCGGCCTCAGTTTCCTCATTTTGGCTGACATGGGAGTTGTAGACACTGCTTTGAGTCCCCACCTATGCCACTGACAGTCCACTCTCCCCAAGTGCAGCCGAGGCTATAAGAGTGACCATGAAGGCTTCAGGCAGACAAACCACAGCCAGCAACACCCAAGTACAGGTGCTGCTGTGGCCAGTGAGAAAAGGTGCTGGAGGCAGCCTGCCTTGCTGTCCAGCGCTGCCCCTTCCTTCCTTCCCCACAGCTTACCAGATCACACACCGGCTCAACGCCACCACAGCCAACACTGCCACGGTGGAGGTGCTGGCACCCAGCGCCCGCCAGTACACAGCCACCGGTCTCAAGCCAGAGTCTGTCTACCTGTTCCGCATCACAGCCCAGACCCGCAAAGGCTGGGGAGAGGCTGCTGAAGCCTTGGTGGTGACCACCGAGAAGAGAGGTGACTGCCCATGGGGGCTGGGGGTCCCTGGAGGGCACCTGAAGGCAATCCTCCTCGGCCAACCTGAATGCTCAGAGGCTTTCTTAGTGGGTGACTGGGATTGTCTAGTGAGTCTGAACTGAAAGTGGAGTCAGTGTCAGAGACAGGTGTAACCAACTTGCAGAGCCTCTTTCCCAGAATCCTTCTGGGCTCTGGTTTTCTAAAGGGAAGGTTAGTGAGGGCTTTCCCTCTTTCTCCCCTCCCCCTCCCAGCACTGGCCTTGTCCAGTTGGGTGGACCATCAGGGCTGAGCCTAGAGTCCTGGTAGATCCTGCCCTGATGCCCTAAGCTGACTCAAGCAGGCCTTGAGCCCTGATTGATTGGAAAATATTTCCAGGAAAACGCAATGAACAGTGGTTCTCAGCAAAGGTTTCCTTTCCCCAAAGCAACTTCTGGAGGCCTTTCATTTGTCACAGCTGCGGGAGATACTCCTGGCATTGAGACCAGGGATGCAGCTAAGTACATATCATGCACATCCAGAAGCATCAGTCCAAACACCAGTAATGCCACAGTTAGGGGTGGAGGAGGAAGGCTGCGAGGAGAAGGAAGCCAAGCTGGGGCGTGGTGTGAGTGAATTCCCACAGAGGGAAGAATGGCTTGATCCCTCTCAATCAGGAACAGTGCAGAACAGGGAGATGTGAATTCCCAGACACCTGGGCATCTAGCAGCTGAGGGTGGGGCTCTGACCAGGAGAGCTGCTAGCTGCTGGCTGCTGGCAAAGACTAGGCAAGGGACATGTGCGTGGAAGTGGGGATGGGAAAGGGGTGCCAGCAGGAGTCTAGGGCACCCCCTCTCCTCTTGAGAAGGCCCCACCTCTCCCCTGCCTGTGTTTTCTCACCTCCCAGACCGCCCCCAGCCCCCCAGCAAGCCTGTGGTGCAGCAGGAGGATGTGAAAGCACGCAGTGTGCTACTGTCCTGGGAGCCAGGCAGTGACGGGCTGTCCCCAGTGCGTTACTACACGGTCCAGACTCGCGAGCTGCCCAGTGGCAGGTGGGCACTGCACTCAGCCTCCGTGAGCCACAATGCTTCCTCCTTCACTGTGGACAGGTGAGGCGGGGTCCATGCCAGCATCTCCACCCTCATTGGTGGTCCCCCCAGTATTCACCACAGAGCTTCTGAGAACACCTTCAGCCTGGCCCCCAAAACTGTCTTAGCTTGCCCCACCCAGGAGGACTCTGTCTTCTGTCTTCTCTCCAGCTCCATTCCCCCCTCTCTAGGAGCCCCATTAGGCTGCCTCTTAATTATTTCTGGAGCCTGGCCGGCTGCTGTTAGCAAGTGCTTGCCATCCTTCATTAGCAATTCTCCCCAGCCAGCATCTTCCTCCCATCTTTAATAGGGGCACAGAGCCCACTCCGAAACTCTGCCTTCAATTTAATTCCTGCTGGTTGTATTTTTTTATATTCCAGTCGACGTGACCAGGAGTTCGAGCAATCCTCTCCTCCCCACCTTCCCCGCCCCCGTAAATCAAGAAGAAAGACATTTGCTGAGAGAGGCTTTTGGAGACAGTTCGGGTTCTCTCTTGGGAACCTTGCTCCCTGCACCCCCCCACCCCAGTTCACTGAATTCAGGAGAGCAAGGTCTTCAAGAACACTGTATGAGTCAGACTTTTCATCACTGTGACAAATACCTAAGAACAACAACTCAAAAGGAGGAAGGGTTTATTTTGGCTCGTGGTTTCAGACGTTTCAGTCCAAGATTGGCTGGCTCCATTTCTTTGAGCCTGAGTAGAGACAAAATATCGCAGCAGCCAGCATACAGAAGGATTAGAGGAAGGGACAAGATATGCCCTTCAAAGGCACACTCCCAGTGACCAAATTCCTCCAGCTAGGCCCCACCTCCTCAAGTTTCCACATTCCCCAAAATAGTGCCACCAGCCAGGGACCCAGACTTCAACACATGGGCCTAGGGGGTAGGGAGGTGAGGGACCACAATTCATATTCTAAGTCTAACAGACATCTTGATCACTGAACCCCAATTCCTCTACAGGCTTAAGCCCTTCACATCCTACAAGTTCCGAGTGAAGGCGACCAATGACATCGGGGACAGTGAGTTTAGCGAGGAGTCTGAATCGCTGACCACCCTGCAGGCCGGTCAGTGCCACTCCCTACTTGGGTCTCTTGCTCTTGGCCCCTGGCTACTTCCTGGGTACTGGGCATTCTGGGAGAGGAGGGGTCTGAAGATGAGAGGACACAGGCCAGCTGGGCCCTGCAGCCCTAGGAGGTTTGGACCAGAAGCGGCCTTTGCCAGGGGCTTGGGGCCCCAGACCCAGCCTGGCATACCACTGTATTCCTTCTCTGATGTCCCTTCAGCCACCAGAGAACGGGAAAGGGTGCCTGTACAGAGCATCCTAATAAGCCCTGTGGCTTTAAGGGACAGAGTGGAGGGGCTCTAGGACCCTTGGGTCTGGACTGGAGTCAGGTCTCTGCCCCAGGCTGGCCCTTTGCTCTGCAGAAGTTGGGTTGGCGAGCATACAGGGTGACTTAGTAGGACCAGCTGCTAGTCCAGTATCAGCAGAATCTGGTCCCCATGGGCTCCTGGTTGGGGCTGAAGCCCCAGCTCATGGAGCCCACCTGCCTGCTTCTCTCTGCAGCCCCCGATGAAGCACCCACCATCCTCTCAGTGACGCCCCACACCACCACTTCTGTGCTAATCCGATGGCAGGTAAGTCAGGGTGGGTTCATCTCTGAGGACTCAGATACGCTTCTTACTGGGACCCGAAGCCAACAGGCCTCACCTGGGCAGCCTGGGCCCAGGTTCTCCCAGGTTCTCTCCAGAGCAACAGACAGGCATGAGAAATGCAAGTGTGCGACTGTCGTGGTGCATTCTGTACACACATGCACCTATTCCACCTCCAGACACTCATGCCAGGCAGAGGCTGTCACCCCTACTGCCTCTGAGCACAGAGACTCAGGAGGGGACGTGCACAGCCCCAAGTCAGCTCATGAGTGGCAGGATCAGCCTTGTAACTCCAGGTCTCTGAATCCTTGGGCAGAAAGGTACTTAGGACTTGGGGGTCCCCAAGTCTCCATGAAACCCAGACCCAGTGATCAGTGATTCTTTTTTTTTTTTTAGCAGCACTAAGGTTTGAACTCAGGGCCTCACACTTGCTAGGCAGGTGCTCTTACTGCTTGAGCCACTCTGCCAGCCCCCACTAAAGAGATTCTTAATAGAGACCTATGCCCGTCACGGTGAGCCCATTGTCCCTTCCCTCATGCCTCCTTTGGCTGCCTGCTCTTCAGTGGGCACTGCCTGTTCTGCCAGGGCCTGGACAACCCAAGCTGCCCACACATCCTTCCCTTCAGGACCCTCCGATGCTCTTGGAAGCCCAGTCTTGGACTCAGCAGGTCACCCACAAGACCCCAAAGCAGCCAGCTGTTGTCCCTGATTCTCAGGATGAGAGGGGCTGGCCCCAGCCTGAGCTGTGTGCAGCTGAGACCCAGGATTCCCACACCCCCTAAATGGAAATGACCTGGTGAAGCCGCACCTGAGCTGGGGGAGGTTGGAGCAGACTGGAGCTGACCTAGCAGAGGGGGGCAGGGACATGCCCCTGCAGCCAGGAAGGCAATTAAGGAACTAATAAAAGGCTGAACAGTTTCAGCAGATTTTTTAAAAGAGGTTCATAAAAAGTTTTCCCCACCTTCTCCCAAAGCCTGTTCTCAACTCAGCTGTGGACGGGGAGCGGACAGCAAGTGTACACAGGCACACTCGTCCTTGTACTTGCTGAAGAACAGACAGGGCTCAGCTCACAGGAACCACCAGGAAGTATTGGCCAGGTAGTGAGCAGTGAGCAACAGGCCTGGGGAGGACCGAGGTGGGTCAGGGAATTCCTGGACTTATGTGTCCAAGTTGTATTTCCATCTCTGCTGGGTGGCTGTGGACAAGCATCTGAGCATCTTTGAGCCTGTTTCCTGTTCTGACGAAGGCAGATTGCACGGTGATTCCTGCCCTTCCCTACCTCACAGGGAACACTCATTGGAAATGCTCAATGAACTAAAAATACTCCATGTTACCCTGATTACTTCTGCTGGTTAGGACACAGTGTCCACTCTGGGGCTGTGATGCATCAGGAGGCATGGTGAGGAGAGATGGCAGCAGAGTGGGGTGAACAGCAGTCAGAGCCCCTCTCCATGTCCTGCCTCCTTTCCTGCAGCCACCAACTGAGGACAAGATCAATGGTATCCCTCTGGGCTTCCGCATCCGGTACCGGGAACTGCTGTATGAAGGGCTGAGGGGTTTCACTCTTCGAAGCATCAACAACCCAGGGGCCAAGTGGGCCGAGCTCACCTGTGAGTGTCACTCCTAGGGACTCAGAGGAGGGGGAGCAGGCACACCCACCTCCCTGCTCTGAAGCTTCCAGGTCCCTTAGATCCCCTAACCTGCAACCCTGCTGCCTGCCTCTCTCCCTCGTGTGTGCCTCCCCAACACCATCCCATTGTTCACTGAGCACCTTCTGCCTCTCCCAAGACACCTGTAACACCCCAGAGATCAAGCCGACAGGTTCCAGCCCTCTTGGAATTTGCAGACCAAGGAGGGCCCAGGCGCAGGAGAAGTTAACCCTGGAACAGATGCCTGGGGCTAGTGGCACAGCAGTGTGGCTACAGGGCTCCAGGAGGGTCAGCAAAGCACCCCTTGACAAAGGAGGATGGTTCCAGGTTGGCCAGGCAATGAGGAGAGCTCAGCATAGGGGAAAAAAGTACCTCAAAAGCTAGGGTGCCCCCAGGGCAGCAGTCAAGGCCTCCTCTTGTTCCTCAGGGAGGCCGCTGCCCTGCCCGTATGAGGAAGGAAGGAGCCAGGACAGAAACCACAGGGAGAAATGCAGGGAGAGTCGTGAGCCAGGGAAAGATGCAAGTGGACTTTTGTGTTAGGAGAGAACTCTAGGGCATGAGGGTGATGGCTCAGCCATGGTAGATGGGGCGTGAAGGACCAGGTTGGTGGCTGTTTCAGTAACATAGCAACAGATGAGAGGCTAAAACAAGGAGGCAGACTGGGATGCAGGTGAACATCAGTTTGGGAAAGGATGCGCACATAGGTGTTGGCTCCATGGGGCTCCATGTTGATTCTTGAAGGGGAGAGGGATGTAGACAGGAAGGTGAGGAGCACAGAAGATTTGGGTCCTGCAAGCGGGGGGCGCTCACCGAAGAGAGACTAGCAAGAGAGAGAGAAAGGGCTAAGACCCTCTCCATTAATTTTCCCAAGCCTTTTGAGCCTTGTCTTCTGGGGACTGTTAGCAGACAACAAAATGATTGAACATGCAGCAAAGGAATATTAATAGAAAAACTCGAAGTACCTGATCCAACAGCTCACGTTATTTTCTTCCTTTTTACTTATTTATTTGGGGGGCTGACATGTGCTGGTGGCTGTGGTTTTATATAGCCTGTGTATAATACAATCATATTTCCTGGTAGTGAAATTGTTTCTGGTTCATATGAGGGAAATTAATGGCTCCAGTATTTCATGGTGGATTTCCAAGAGCTCCATCTTGAAACAAGAGAGTCAGTTGAGCCTAGAGGGTCCTCCCCAGAGCTGTCCCCAGGGTCTTTGGACTCTGAGGGACTCCCTGTGACTTTGGGCACCACAGTGCACACCCCAGACAGAGACAATAGTGTCCTGGGAGCTGCCTCCTCCCCTCCTCCCATCCTGGCCCCTAACTCAGCACCAAGAATTGGAAACTGTCCCTCTGCCAGCTCAGTCACCAGCTTTGTCACTCTATCCTGCCCTGGTTGGGTTCTTTGTGGCAGACGTGTGCACTAACCTCTGTCTGCTATCTCCCTCTGGTCCTTGCCTTCCCCGGCCTGTAGCCTTATACTCCATGCGGAACCTGACCCGGCCTAGCCTCACGCAGTACGAGCTGGACAGTAAGTCTCCTTGCATGGCAGCCCTGTGTAGCAATGGGGAGTGGGTCCCCCGAAACAGCTGGCCCCAGGCAGAGCTCTGTGCTTACCATGGGTACTTGAAGATCAGGCTCACCTGTAACATACAAAGCAGGCGGCGTTCCCAGGGAACATGTCCCCAAGTTTATCTTCTGTGTGGGATGAAAAAGGACGTTCACAGCCTTGTGCAGGTTGGGGGATGATGGCAGCAGGTCACAGTAGGAGCTGCTGCTGCCCAACTCCTCTGGTCTAAGGCATGTTGAGCCCAGTTACCTCTCTGTCCAAGGCTGCTTGTGCAGGGAGCACTGTGCAGTTCTGTTTGTCAGCTTGTCCCTGTGTGGCCAGCCCCACCCTCGCTCTGTTTCTCAACTCCCTGTGGGGGGGTGGGTGGCGGGAAGGGGCTCTTTCCCAGCCCAGGGCTCCACACTCAGGAGAAAGCCCACTCCTTTGAGTCTGACCCACCCTCCTCCTTCCCTGTGCCTGCCCAAGGACAGAACTTCCACCTGGGAAGGAGAGGGAGAGCCAGAGAGAGAAGAATACAGACGGGTGGGGACCTTCTGGGCCACCTTGAACACGGACAGCATCTTGCACCCAGCATGATGGAGCCAGTTTTCTTGCATTGGCTTCCTTCTCTAGCCTCTGCAAGGCATCCTTACCCAAGCACACCAAACTTGGTGAAAACATGGCGTCTGTTGGCCTAGAACTCACTTTCAATAAGTCCCTTCCCTCCAGGGCTGAGGCTCCCTGTGAAAGGAACTGGCAGGACACTGGGGGTGCAGCCCAGTGGTGGATCACACTCTTAGCATTCAAGAGGCCCAGGTGGGGATGGGTGGGGCCCCAAGTTGAGATGTGGCTGGAAACGACTTGCATTCGCCATTGTGGAAAGAAGGCACACAGGGAGGACCTGACCCTCTGGCCTGGGCACCCAGAACTGTTAATACTGCCCCTTTCAGTCTCCAGCTGGACAATACCATCACCCAAGGCCAAGAGGCCCCATCTCCTACCTGTTTTCTGCTGACCCTTCACACAGGGATCTAGAATTGCAAGGATGTCTCGTCCCTCCCCCACAGCAGGGCCTGTGACCACTGTGTTTCCCCTCCCCCACTGTCGCCCACAGACCTGAACAAGCACAGGCGGTATGAGATTCGGATGAGTGTGTACAACGCTGTGGGTGAGGGCCCCTTGAGTCCCCCTCAGGAGGTCTTTGTTGGGGAGGCAGGTGAGTACTCCATGAGGTCCAGCCAGGGGAGGCATAGGATCTCGGGTCCCTTTCCTTCCCTGACTCACCTCCCCCTCCCTGGAGTCCACTCACTCACTACACTCCATGTCCGCCAGTGCCCACAGCAGCACCCCAAAACGTCGCTGTCCATGGTGCTCTGGCCACACAGTTGGATGTGACATGGGAGCCACCCCCACTGGACAGCCAGAATGGAGACATCCAGGGCTACAAGGTACAGGCCTCGGGCAGAGCAAAGGGCTGCAGAGGGGCAAGGGGCCGGGTTGGAGGGTGGGTGGTGGTGGGAGAGTCCCGGGCCCTTCCTCCTTACAGCCAGCTCACCCCTCCAGCTCTGCTGTGTACCTGCTGCCTTCAGTGTTTGCACCCAGCGACAGAAATACTGTGCAGCTGGAGTGTGGCACTCATCCTGCCAGAGTCCCAAAGGCAAGTTAAGCTGAGATGCAAGGAGCTCTGACCAAACACCCCCACTTTGGGGGGGTGTAAGACATCTTAGCAGCCTGCCACCCACCTCCAGGCCCCATACATCACTCCAGACCCCTCCAGGGGGTTACTGGCCCCTCTAATTACAACACTAATACCAGTTAGATGGCCAATTTGCAAAGCACCACCAGTTAGTATTCAGAGATCTCTGCTTAAAAATCATTTCTAGCCAGGCACCGTGGCTCACGCCTATAATCCTAGCTACTCAGGAGAAGGATCACAGTTGGAAGTCAGCCCTGGGCAAACAGTTCAAAAGACCCTATCTTGAAAAACCCATCACAAGAAAGGGCTGGCGGAGTGACTTAAGTAGTAGGGTCCCTGCCCAGCAAATATGAAGCCTGAGTTCAAACCCTAGTCCCATCCCTGCCAAAAAAAAATCATTTCTAGATTTTGGATGGTGTCACACTTTATAATGGGTGCAGTTTGTCCCTAACGTTCATAGAGCCTTTGGAATCTTGAAAGCCCCAGAAAACTGGTAGATTAGACAAGGAAACTGAGACCCAGTTTAGGTGGCCTGGCAAGTCCATAAAACAGCAAGCAGCAGAATCCAGGCCTCTGGCTCTCCCTGTGGGGTAAAGAGGAAGCTGAGCACACAGCCCCCAGACAAAGTGGCTTAGGGAAGAGGGTGAAGTTGCCTCCCGGTTAGAGCACAGGAAATGTGCAGCCCTCAGCCGTGTTGGAGGCCTGCCTGTCAAGCCACTGTCCAGGGACTCTGGTTCCTGGTGGTTGGCTATTATTCCAGAGAACAGCCCCAGTGCAATGACCCCGGGCGTGGGGTGGGGTGGCAAGGGTGAGAGCCACAAGGACTCTATGGTTTACCTGGCCCAGCCCTCATTCCACAGGTGGGAACGGAGTCTCAGCCAAGGTGAAGTGCTTACTCTGTCACAGCCTGTTAAGACAGGTAACCCCCAAGCTGGAGGCTGGGGGCTCACACCTGTAATCCAAGCTACTTGGGAAGCAGAAATCAGGAGGATGGTGGTTCAAAGCCAGCCCAGGCAAATAGTTCGCAAGACCCTATCTCAAAAATACCCAACACAAAATAGTGCTTGCAGAGTGACTCAAGTGGTAGAGTGCCTGCCCAGCAAGCATGAGGCCCTGAGTTCAAATCCCAGTACCACAAAAAAAAGGGTAACCCAGAGCCAGATGTGGTGGCACATGCCTGTAATCCCAACTACTTAAAAAGTGGAGGTAAGTAGATCTCAATCCAAGGTCTGGCTCAGACAAAAGTGTGAGACCCTATCTGAAAAGCAAACTAAAAGCAAAAAGACTAAGGTGTGGCTCGAGTGGTAGATCACCTGCCTAGGAAGGCCCTGAGTTCAACCACCAATAGCACAAAAAAAATTAAAGACGGGTAACCCCAATGTAAGGCAGAATCCAGCGCAGGAGTCTCTTCCATCTGGGGTGAAGGGGGAGGGAGGGAGGAAGCAGGAGCCTTGCCAAGGAAGCGCTGAAGATGGATGACACCCTCAAGGTTTTGCCCAGGAGCACCAGCTGGGAAAACTAAATATTGCACCCTTAGCACATGCCTCCCGAGAAAAGAAGAAGGTGCCAGGCAGAGCCCGCAACACTTTGGCAGCCACTAGACTGTCGAGGTTTGGAAGTTGCAAGTTCACACACAGATCCAGGAAATGTGTGGGTTCCCAGGCACTATATAGCACACAGCGGATGTCTACAGGTTCCAAAAAATCCTTGGCCATACCTGCATGCGAGCTGTGGAGACGGAACTGCCGCCTCCTGGAGGCATGTTGACCAACAAATTAACTTGCACTCAGTCACAGGCGCGTGAATGACATGGTAACATCACTAACCAATGAGCCCAGCTCCAGCGATCCTCTGTTTAAGTCAGGCTAAGCTGGGACGCGCTCAGACAGCACATTCACACACATTCCGAGAGCCTCTGTCTTTTAGTCATTCAGGAGCATGTGTTTATCAAGCAATTATCTTGTGCCCTGCCTTGTTCTCTGTACTAGGAGTAAAGCAGAGAGCAAACAGACAACATGAGCTAAAAACCAACAAAATACAGAATAAGCAATACCACCCAAGAGCAGTGAACAAAGCAGCTAGATGGGGAGAAGGCTGGACATTTTAAATGGAGTTATTGGAAAAGGACTTAATGAGAAAATAGTGTGTGAGCAAAAACCTAAAGGAATACAGGGCATGTGTCACATGAATCCAGATGAAGAACAGTCCAGAAAGAGGGGAAAGAGCAAAGGTCCTGGGGTAGGTCGGTGCTTGGAGTGTGCACAAACTCCTGTGTGCTCCAGGAGTGGGTTGGGGGGAGCGTGATGGGAAGGGGAAGAAGGGTGAGCAGCCCACAGTGCTGAGAGCCCTGGGGCTGGGGCTTTCATTCTGAGGGAGATGACAGCCAGGAAGGGCTTGGGCAGAGGAGAAACACGGGGAGCTCAGAATTCCAGAGAGTCACTCTGGAGCTCAGTCTGAAATGGGGAAAGCACAGCCACCTAGAAGGGACCTGAATCATCCAGAGATGTCATGGTGATTCTGACAGGCGAGCTGGGGTGAGCAAGGGTGGTTCTCCCCTTATGTGGTAAAGCAGAGCTGAGAGGGTGTACAGAGGGCAGGAGAAGCGGCAAGGCCAGATCCAAGACCAGGATGCAAGGGGCAGATAGAGCTGCCAGGCACAGGGCTGGAAAAGGAGGAAGAAGCTGGACGCTGGTGGCTCATACCTGTAATCCTAGTTACTCAGAAGACTGAGATTGGGAGGATTTCAGTTTGAGGCCAGCTGGGGTAAATAATTCACAAGATCACATCCCCAAAATAACCAGAGCAAAATGGACTGGAGGTGTGGCTCAAGTGGTAGAGAGCCTGCTTTGCAAGTGTAAAGCCCTGAGTTCAAACTCCAGTCTTATCAAAAAAAAAAAAAAAGAAAGAAAGAAAGGAAGGAGAGAGAGAGAAGGAAGGAAGACAAAGGGAAGGGAAGGGAAAGGTTTGGCTCCACATGTGCTGACATCAAGACACCTCTGGCCTTGAGAGGGGGACAGAGCAGAGTTGGGGACACAGCTGGAGCTCAAGAGAGAGGGTCTAGGCTGGAAATGTGAACTGTGGAGTCCCAGGACATAGATCATGCTCAAAACCAGGAGACTAGACAAACACAGACCACAAAAGAAGGGACCCTGGGACCAAAAGCAGTGAGCGATGACTCTGAGCCCGCGGGAAGACTGCGCTTCTGGAAGAAGGGAGAAGCAGACTGTCTGCTCTGACTGAAAGACAGACGGAGCTAGTGCAATCCAGGAGCTAAAAGAAAGCTACAGCCAATGTAGGTCTGCAGATCTTGAATAACTTCATTTAAAATGCTAGAATCGGGCCAGAGTCCAGTGGAACAGGACTGGCAAACTACAGCCCACCAACCTGGTCTAGCCCACCAGCTTTTTTGTTTTGAGACAGGCTCCAAATGGGCCTGGAATTCATGATCCTCCTGTGGCCTCCTGATTGCTGGGATTACAGGCGTGCACACCCCGTCCTGCCCCCACCACACTTCTGTACATAGAGTTTTATTGGGGCACAGCCAGGCCCATTTGTTTACAAATTGCCATGGCTACCTTTGCACAAGGACAGAGTTGAGTAATTGCAGCAGAGACTGAGAGGCCTGCAGAGCCTAAAATATGGATTAGCGTTTCCAGAAAACACTTGCGAAGCCCTGGAGATGGTATTAGCAACTCTGAGCTCACGTGGGAGCATGAGGAGCTGGCGCTGGGACCTGCGTGGAGTGGGTTTGAGAGGACGGGGCAAGGCAGAGAGTGCTCACGACATCCCTTTGGAGAAGTTTTGCTTTAAAGAGAAGTAGAGCGATGGGTGGAAGCTGGAGAAAGTCATGTGACCACAGAGGGGCTTTCAGGATGGAAGAGATCACAACTTGTTTGCGCACCAATCAAAATGATATGGACAAGGGCTGGGGGCATGTAAAGCAGTAGAGCCCCTGCCTAGCAAGAGCAAGGCCATGAGTTCAAACCTCAGTACTGAATAAAAAAAGATAAAAGAAAAGACAGGATCCTAGACAAAGAAAAAGAGGAGGGAGGAAGAGAGGAAGCTCTGGTGGAGTGATGTCTTCATGTAGGCGAGAGGGAATGCAATTGAGTGAACATATTCAGGGCAGCCTTAAAGGGAACCAGCAGTCTGAGCATGGTGGATCACACCTGTAATCTCAGCCTGGACTACATAGTAAGACCCTGTCTCAATAAACCAACTACTGGGAATGTAACTCAACGGAAGAGTGCTTGCTTAGCATGTGCAAAGCCCTAGGTTGCATCCCTAGCACTGAGGGGGGGATAAACAAAGGAATCATGATGGCAGGACAGAGACAGAGGTATTAGCACAGGGCAAGAAGTAACAAAGTGCTTCAGTTTCCCACAGGGTCCTCTGCTGGGAATGAGCTGGGGGAAGGGAGAAGGATGTACAAAACAGCTACTCAGCCTGCCTTCCATCCTCCATGTCCACAGGCTGCCCATCATGAATCCAACCAGCTGGGGATCAAAAATACTCAAGGATAAAAATTGCACCTGTCCTGAGCACATATAGACTTTTTCTTGTCATTCTCCCTACACAACCAACAGTCTCCTTTCACCCTGGTCACATTGCATCAGGGACCACTACTCTAGAGACGATTTAGGTTACACGGTCATATGCAAACTCTAACGCCATTTTATGTAATGGACTTAAGCTACCTTGGCTTTTGATATCTGAGGGAGTCCTGGAACGGACCCCTGTGGGTGCAGAAGGTCGACCTTGTAGGGTTGTGCGGTGTGTGGCTGGGTGGCACGGTGGCTGGCCAGGCTGTGCCTTGAATTTAAATCCTGTCTCTCCTCCAGGCCAGTCAGCAAATCTCACCAGGATTGGAGCTCAGTCAGTTGTAGGAGATGAAGCAAGACAGAGCAGGGACACAGCAGAGAACAGTGAGCAGAGTGAGGGGTCAGCCCACAGAGCGGGAGGAAATGTTTACAGACCGAAGTCTGATAAGGAGGTAACAGCCAACACACGTGTGGAGCTCATGCAACTTGAAAGCACAGCACAAGTAACCATACTTAAAAGTGAGACATAGGTAGCTGGGTACCAGTGGCTAACTCCTGTAATCCCGCCCACTCAGGAGGCAGAGATCAGGAGGATCATGGTTGGAAGCCAGCCCAGGCAAATAGTTTGTGAGACCCTATCTCAAAAAAACCCATCACAAAAAAAAAAAAAAAAAAATAGGGCTGGTAGAGTGGCCCAAGGTGTAAGTCCTGAGTTCAAACCCCAGCACTGCCACAAGGATGTACCATCATGCACCTGTTAGAATGACTGTTACCACAAAGTCAAAAAAAAAAAAAATAGCCAGGTACTGGTGGCTCACACCTGTAAACTTAGCTACTGTGGGAGGCAGAGATGAGAAGGACTGCAGTTTGAGGCCAGCCCAGGCAAAAAAGTTACCAAGACCCCATCTCAACCAATAGCTGAGCGTGATGCTACTCTCCTGTCCTCCCAGCCATGGTGAGAAATGAAAAATAGGAGGGTCACAGTCCAGGCTGGTCTGGACAAAAAGTGAGACCCCCCTCTCCAGAGCAAAAAGGGCTGGAGGTGTGGCTCAAGTGGTAGAGTCTGCCTCACAAGCACAAAGTTCTGGGTTCAAACCCCAGTACTGCTGAAAAAAAAGAGAGTCAAAAAATAACAAGTAATGTGGAGAAACTGGAACTCAAGTTCACTGCTGGTGGGGATGTAAAATGGCACAGCTCCTCTATGGAAAATAGTCTAGAGCCTCCTCAAGAAATTAAAAATAGAGTTACCATCTGATCCAGTAATCTCACTTCTGGGAATGTATCCAAAAGTATTGAAATCAAGAGATATTTGCACTTCCATGTTCACTACAGCTTGATCCACAATAGCCAAGATGTGGAAACAGCCAAATGTTTCCTATATACACACACACATATGTATATATAGGAATATTACTCAGCCATAAAAAGGGAAACCCTGCCATCTGCAACAACATGAACCCAGAAGATGTTATGTTAAGTGAACTAAGCCAAACACAAGAAGACAAATACTGTATGATCTCACTTATATGTAGAATCTAAAATTGTCAAATATGCATCCAGAGAAATAAAATAGTCACAGAAGCAGAGAGTAGAAGAGTGGCTGCCAGAGACTGGGAAAGATGAAGAGAGCTGGCCACAGTATTTTGGTTCTGTAGGAAGAGCAAGTTCTGGGGGATCTAGTGTCTTCCGTGCTGACCATAGTAGCACTGCTGTCCTGGACACTTGAAATTTACCAAAAAGGGCAGCTTCTATTTTTTTTTTTGTGGTACTGGGGTTTGAACCCAGAGCCTCACACTTGTTAGGCAGAATAAGTTTTCATACCACGTGAAAAAGAAAGGGTAATGCCAGTGGCTCACGCCTGTAATCCAGCTACTTGGGAGGCTGAGATCGAAGGGATCACAGTTCGAGGACAGCCCGGACAAATAGTTTGCAAAACCCCCATGTCCAAAATAACCAGAGCAAAATGGACTGCAGGTGTGGCTCAAGGAGTAGAGTGCCTGCTTTGCAAGTGCAAAGCTCTGAGTTCAAACCCCAGTGTCACAAAAAAAAAAAAAAAAGAAAAGAAAAGAAAGGACAAGTGGGCACACTGATCAGCTTGATCGTGGTGACGTCTCACAATGTATGCCTGTAGCAAAACATCCAATTGTGGGGCCAGGATGTAACTCAGTGGTAGAGCACTTGCCTACCATGTGCAAGGCCCTGGGTTCAAGTTCCAGTACTAAAAAACACATGAAAGCCAGACAAGCTGTGCGTGCTTAAAATCCCAGCTACTTGGAAGGCTGAGGCAGGAGGATTGCAAGTTCGGGATCAGCCTGTGCTATACAATGAGCCAGCCTGGGCAACTTATCAAGACCCTATCTCAATATCAAAAAAAAAAAAAGGCCTCTGATGTAACCCAATGGTAAAAGCCCTTGCCTAGCATACACAAGAGGCCCTGGCCCTGAAAAAAAAATTCAGTTGTATACCTTAAATATATATGCAATTTTTATTTGTCAATTATGCTTCAATTAAAAGAAGGGCAGGGAACTGAGAACAGCAGATGGCCAGTGGTGATTACAGTCATCCACTCCCCTGCCAGCCGTGCTGCTGTGGGAGGCATCTTTCGTGCACCAAATGTTTGCTGAGAATCCACTGCCAGGTGTGATTCTGAGTGCATGGCTCATAAGGGAGCCATGTAGACCAAGATGGTGGGCACTACCACTTCCCAGAACTTCCTCGGGGACCGGGATCCAGGCTCAGCCTCTTGTGCACTTTGCAGAAGTCCCCCTTACTGTTGAGTCACCATCTAACAGAAGTTGGCTGATCTCAGCACACACAAGACACACCTGCTGTGGGCGCCTTGCTTTTGTGCTGCCCCTGCGTCCTACACCCTGACACTCCTCTCCCCAAGGGCACGGTTTTGGCCATCAGCCTCTCTCCCTGCATCACGGCTTACCATTTTGTAATTTGCCCTGCACAAATGCATCCTGAAACATTTCCTCTTTCTGTGCCTTTCTCTGACCCCACGTTTATTTCCAGTGGTCACTGTTTCTTCAGTTGGTTACTTGACCACAGAATTTCTCAAAAGAGTTTTCCACACTTGCCACCTCTGATTCCTCTCCTCTCATTCTCCAGTGAGCCCCTTCCCATAGGTTCTGGTCCTGGCCACCCCACAAGAGTGCTTCCTGCTGAGGCCACTGATAGTTCTGTGGTCAAGTCACACGCCTCACCCTGCCTGACTTCGCAGCCGTGTCTCCCTCTTCCCACACATGTTCTTCTCCCACTCCGCTCTCCTCCTCATCCTCCTTGGCTGTCTGGCTTCTCTTCCCAGCTGCGGAAACCTGGAAGGTCCCAGGAACTGATCCAGGACATCACAGATAGATAGATAAATAGAGATATGTATTTGGTGGGACTGGGATTTGAATTCAGGGCTTTGTGTTTGCAAAGCAGGAGCCCTACTACTTGAGCCACACCTCCACTCCATTTCCTCTGGTTATTTTGGAGATGGGAGTCTTACAAAGCTTTTGCGCAGGCTGGCCTCAAACTGAGACCTTCCTGATCTCAGCCTCCCAAGTAACTAGGATTACAGCAAGAGTGAGTCACTGGCGCCAGCTAACACATGAATATTTAACATTAGCCTCGACCTTTCCCCTAAACACTAAATCCAGCAGGAGCTTTGTGGACTGTTGTATCCCGGATGTAAATGGACATGCTAGTGGATAAGTGATTTTATGACCGATCACCTCAACTCCCATTCATCTATCCACACAAGAAAAAAAATCTGCCAAAAGAAAAATGAAGGCAGGTTGGAAAGCAGCAGCCCTTTTGGTAACAAGATATCCTAACCAGCATTCACACAGGCCAGGAGAGGAGGGCGACTGTCATTAGCTTTCTTCCTTTTATTGGCTTCCTCCCGAGAAACCGAAATTAACAAGCCAGTAGCCTACATAAACCTTCTTGGCCGCCAGGTGGCACCAAATGACCTCCAATCACGGCTTGAAATTGACTTGCGGCTTTTAGGGCAGCCGCAGTTCAAAGTTCTTCAATGAGCTTGAGACTCTTGCAAGCGTGGCTAACCGGGAGTATTAGCCCCCGCTGGACGCAGAGGCAGTGGAAGCTCTGTGAGGGATCTGCTGCCTCCCTGGCCTAAAACCCTCTGCAGCCACACGGTGCCTTCAGAATCTGGCCAGTTCCTAGGGGGACGCTGTGCCATAGTCTTCAATCCTATGGCCTCCGTCCCTCATGCTGACTCCAGGAAGTGGGTGTGCAGCCAAGTCCCTCTGCCAGTAAGGGGTGCAGCCACGATGTGACCCTACACCATCCGCCATCTTAACCAGGCCTCCCTCTGCAGTGAGCCTGCAAACCGTGGTGTGCACGGGCATAACCAGGGGATTTGCAAGCTGTGGTGTGCACAGGGATCACCAGGGCTTGTTAACCTGCAGCTGTTGGTGCAGCAGGCCTGGGGGAGGCCATGGCTCTGTCCCTCCCCAGCTCAGGCACCATGGAGTCTGCACTTGCCCTGGGCTCAGACTCCTGCAGGAGAGGTAGGTATATCCAGGATCTGTGTCCTGTCTGTATCCTGATGCTAAATCCTACAGATGCTGCAATGCACCAAGATACATGGGAGCTATGGCGTTTGCAAGGTAGTGGAGGCCAGGGTCTTAGCTATGGAAAGGAAGGTTCTGGAAGGGTTTCTAAAACACCTCTTAGATACTTCCTGGGTGAATGACAACAGTGAAGGTGCCTCAGAGATGCTGGGTTAGGCAAAGGCAGGAGGGAAGCCCGGTACCGCCATGCCCCTCACTCCACAATCCTCTGTGCCTACAGATTTATTTCTGGGAAGCCCAGAGGCAGAACCTCACAGAGCGGGTGAAGACGCTTTTCCTGGCTGAGAACGGCGTGAAACTCAAGAACCTGACGGGCTACACCACTTACATGGTCAGCGTGGCAGCCTTCAATGCTGCAGGCGACGGGCCGCGGAGTACCCCCACCCGGGGCCAGACCCAGCAAGCAGGTGTGGAGGGGGACCCTGGGGAGAGGAGATCTGCATGAGGGGGCAGTGGGGCAGGAGGACGCACCTGGCCTCTGAGTTGTTTTGGGAAAACTGCAGACAATGGCCTTGACCCACAGAGGATCTAAGCTTGGTACCCAGGCCCCATGAGACGCCCTGCGGAGTGGGAGAGCACGGCCTGCAAAAAGGGACCCAGACCTGGACCCTCAGAAAAGAGAAGCTGTCCCCATGAACTTGAGAGAGTTTCAGCTCTCAACCGTCCAGTGCCTGGCCCCAGACAGCCGTCTTAGGGACGGCTACCGTTCCCACTCCCTGCCTGGTTCCCTCCTCCTTTATTCTATCGCTGCCCCCCGCCCCCACCTTTGTTCATCCCATCAATATATGTCAAGTGTCTTCTGTGAGTGCACACTGTGCTTGATGCTGGGGACACAACAGAGACCACAAGTCCCCATGGTAGTGAGACGCATGGTAAGGAACAAGCAAACAGATGAGTGGGCCACAGGTGGCAGTAAAAGCAGGTCATGGAAGGGTGGCACAGGAAAGGATGGCCTTGGATAGGTCTTCCTACAAAGGCCCCACCCAGATGGTGACATCTGAGCTGAGATTTGAGTAAGAAGAGGCCAGCCATGGGAAGTTCTGGAGGTTGGGCAGAGAGTGGGGTTCAGGCAGAGGGGACAGCAGGTGCAAAGACCTGGGGTCTGGAAGGGATTAGAGGAATGGAGAGAAAGCCAGGCACTTGCAAGAAAGTCGGGTGAGAGTCAGGTCCCCAGGCTGTTGGAGCGGATTAATTTAAATGTGATAGGAAACCACTGGAAAGCTTAGCAGCTGAGCAACAAGATCTGGTTAAAGTTTTGAAAAAATCACTCTGGCAGAGATGTGAGAGGAAAGGAGGACAGAGGCAGGGAGTCCTGGTACTGGATGGAGAGCAGGGCTGAGGAGAGGGTGAAGGTCAAGATCCTGCTGCCCACACGTACAGACCAAGCCCTACAGGGTCCAAAGCATGGCACTGGATCCTCCTGGAAACCCTGGGGCAGACAGTATAGCGTCACCCCCATTTCACGAGGAGCAAGGGTTGTCCTGGAAAGGATGCATCTTGCCCAGGGTCCTCCAGGAGGTCGTGGGGAGCAGAACCCCACGAGTTCTCTCCTTGTGGATTTGAATACAGTTGGCTCTCCACTGGGTTCCACATCTGCGGGTTCAACCAACCAAAGACTGAAAATATTCCCCCAAAAAAAGCATCCGTACTGAACATGTGCAGACCTTTTGTCACTGTTTCCTATACACCGCAGCATGACAACTGTTCATGCAACATTTATATTGCATCAGGTATTGTAAGTAACCTAGAGATCATTTGAAGTGTATGGGAGGGGCTGGGGTGTGGCTCAATGCCCTGGGTTCCATCCCCCGCCCTGAAAAATAAATAAAAGTACAAGAGGAAGTGTATAGGTTACAGGCAAAGATGACACTGTTTTATAAAAGGGACTGACTTGACCATCCTCGGGTTTTGGTATCCATAAGAGGTCCTAGAATCTCTTATGAATAATGAGGTCCCTTCTGCCGGGGACTCCCTGACCTTTGGAGTTGGTTCTTAGATGTGATCCTCTCTGGGGTCAGGCCTGGTTTTAGGAGCTTTTCCCCTCACTGGCTCCCCAGGGTCTTTGGAGGCTAAGTGTCAGTGTCTGAATGTGCAAATCTGTCTGTCTGTCCCAGTCATATTTGTTACTGCCTTCAGCCGGATACTAGCCCCCGGGAGTCTGGAAGCTTCCGGTGCTGTGGCAGCAGGACAAAGTGTTCAGTCCCACATCCCCGAAGCCTGGGGGAGGCAGGAAAGGACCCTGAGCTCACCTCCCTCCTTCAAAGCCACTCACTGACGCTGCCTCCCAGAGCTGGAGCCGGAAGCAGATCCTGATTAGCTCCAGCTCAGTGGGGAGGCAGCGATGGACAATAACAGCCTGGCCATCCAGCCGGCCAGCTCGGGATGCTGTGGAGGGGGTGCTTCCTGCCCTTCTACTCTGTCCCCCCATGTTTTCAGGGTCGCTCCAGGGTTTTTAGTCCAAGAAAAGGGACTGTCCTTGGCTCTGACGCCTTCTGACAGCATGGTGTCTCAGTGACAAGCCCTAGAGCCCAGGCATGAGCAAAAGGCCATGTCCTCTCATTCTGGCATCCTCTTGTTTTGAGGCCCCAGGACCACCATTGCACCACCACCACCACTACCACCACCACCCCTGCCTTCTCTAGCAAGGAGGCTGAAAAACTCACCCCACAAAGCCAGGAAATGGCCTTTTGCCTCAGTGGCCCTGGGAGTATAACAGTTTGTCCCTTGCTGCCAGCCAGGGCTCAGAGCCACATAGGAGGAGGAAGTCCAAACTCACCAGCATTAAGGAAAAATTAACATCCCTTTTCTCCCCTTGCCTGGGCCTCTGCTATTGGAAACTTGAGTGCTAATGATGTCACCAAGAAGGGAAAGGTCCAATGGCCTCCACTGACCCCTCTTGCCTTCTTCTTGAGCTAAGCCCTGCATTCTCATTCTTCCTGGGCACGGACCCAAACACTCCCACTAGTTTCTTGGATCTGAACCTAGGGCTTTGAACTTGAACAGAAAGAGGAAACAAAAACCTTTCGCTGTCTCTGCAGCCCCCAGTGCTCCCAGCTCTGTCAAGTTCAGCGAACTGACCACGACCTCGGTGAACGTGTCCTGGGAAGCCCCACGGTTCCCCAATGGTATCCTGGAAGGCTACAGGCTGGTGTATGAGCCCTGCACCCCAGTGGATGGTGAGTGGGACCCTCCCACCCAGCCCACCTTGCCTTGCAAGGGCGTGATCTCAACCCATGTCCTTGTCATGGTCACCACACACTAGCTAGATTTAGTGAGAGTCTGTCTTATAAGCAGGGAAACTGAGGCCCAGCCCAGGGAAGGGGCGTTTCCAAGGCAAAACAATAGCAAGGTGAGAGCAAAGTTGGAACCGCAACCTAGACCTCCCAACTCCCAGGCAAATAATTATTTTTTAAATTTTTTATTAGCATAAATTAATTTTACAAAGGGGTTTCATTGGGATATTTACATGCATGCATATAATGTACTTTGGTCAAATTCGCTCTATGTTACAGAAAATTTTTAAATGCATCTTCCCCTCCAGTCAACAGAAGCAGGGAAATGAGGAAGAGAAGTCCGACCAAAGTATCAACCCCCAGGTGGAAGGTCCCCCCAAGAAAGGGGACCCCCTAACATTCCAGCCCTATCTTTTCCCCTCCCAAACTTAAGCATCTCCGCCTTACTCCAGGTTAGCCCTGAAGGCTCAGATTTGGGTATCTGATTAATGCCTTGGAGCCTCTCCCCAGGAAGATGCACAATATTGGGGGTCAGTGTATCCTTGTTGCCATCTGTGAGCCTCAGATCAAAAGCCCCCTCTAGCCAGGCACCAGTGGTTCACGCCTATAATCCTAGCTACTCAGGAGGCAGAAATCAGGAGAATCGCAGTTCAAAGCCAGCCAGGGCAAATAGTTCATGAGCCCCTATCTCAAAAAAGCCCATTATAAAAAAGGATTGGTGGAGTGGCTCAAGGTGTAGGCTCTGAGTTCAAACCCCAGTACCACCAAAAAAAAGCCTGCTCTACAAAAGACTGTCCTTGCACCTGTGTCCTCTTCACCCCAGCTGTCTTTATTAGACCCCTCCCTCCATGTCCTGTCCAGGGCCCTGCCCCACTTCCAAGCTCTCAGGTAGGGCTGGGCTGACCCTAACAGTGACAACAGAAACCTGCCAGCTTTCCTGCCCAGTCACAGGTGATGTGACCAAGACCAGGGTGAACAAAGTGCCTAAAAATCACTGCTATCTTGCCATTGACAACCATCCTCAGAGGCCAGGGGACTGAGAGTAGGATTTAGTTACGTGCAGCGAGACATTAGGGTGTGTTTGGCCTCCAGTGGTGCCCTGGTAGCAGAAAGTGACCACTTCTGCAGTCCCCCGACTCATTCCCACCCCTCCCAACAATGGAGCCTGGCAAGAACAAGGGGTGGAGCCTGGGAATGTCCCAGAGGCCAGCAGTTCTGGGTCAGTGGAGGGAACAATGTCCCTCAGTCTTCCTTGCCACCACCTGGGTGCCACCAGCCATTCTGCAAAGTGGAACTGTGTGAGAGAGAACTGGAGCCAGGCCCCAGGAGGAGTGCCAGTCAGGTGCAGGGCCTGGGAACAGTGCCAGGACAGAGGTCAGAGGGACGAAATGCAGGGGCCTGCACAAGTTCTCATCACAGTGGCCTCCTCCTGGCCACTTTGAGAGAGGTCACTTTGCTTCCTGGGGTCTCCGTCAGGCAGGATCTAGACCAGACTGAAGTCCTCTACTCACTTATTCCCATCCACCCTGCAACAGTGCGGCTAATAAGCGTGGCTGAACAATTCCCCAACTGGCCAGCACAGTGTCTGCCCCAAGTCATGCCTCAGCCTGGGGGGCAGGCCAGCAGCACCCCCTTTCCTGGAGGAGAAGCCAAAGCCCAGGCAGATGAGGGATTGTTCAGCAATGTCAAAAAGCAGGTACTCCAGATCCAGGGGGTCATTTCATTCCCTCTGGCTTGCATTGCTCCACCATCCAATAATTCATTTATTCAATAAATAGATCAAGTACCTAACCACGTGCCAGGTGCTCTGTCCTCATATGTGAACCTAACATCCTTGTCTAAGAGTTTGGTTTTTTTGGTTTTTTGGTTTTTTTGGTGGTGAACTCAGAGCCTCATGCTTGCTAGACAGGCGCTCTACCACTTGAACCACTCCTCCAGCCCTTTTTTTTGTAATGGTTTTTTTTCAAGATAGGGTCTTGTGAACTATGTGCCTGGGCTGGCTTTGAACTGCAATACTCCTGATCTCTGCCTTCTGAGTAGCTAGGATTACAGGCATGAGCCACTGTGTCCAGTTTTCTAGGATACTCTTGATACCCTGACTCAGTAGAAGAACAAAGTGAAACCAGCTAAGGGACATGCCCAAAGACACCCAGGGCCAGTGCTGAGGCCCTAGCCCTCACATGGGCTGCAAAACCCTTCCTTCCATGGTTACTGCGTGCGCCTTTGACAGGGGAATGAAAGATGGCCCAGCCTTCAAGGAAGCTTTGGGTTTGGGATGCACAGAGCACACATTCCCACCTCCTAAAAACTACCCCCACACACACAAAAGCCTGCCCCTGGTTACTATGACCTGGAGTGCCAGGGTGTCCTCAATTTTGCCCTGAAAACTCAGGGGTGTAGATGATAGAAGCCCATGGAACTCAGCTTACAGGGCTGGCAGGAAGAAAGATGAACCAGGAGATGGGACTGAGGTTGGGGCCAGGTAGGAGTTGGAGCTGGTCACCCTAGTCCCCTCCAGCTGTGGACTTGTGGTATCAGAATAAAAGCACTTCCTGGCAGGTGGTCCCTGGAATCTGCGTTCTAAGGGACATTACAAACAGGACAGGGATTTTCTCAAACTTTGCCAACCATGCAGATTCCCCTCTCCCACTCCCACCCCGCACCCCAGAGAATCTCTTGCAGGACCCAGTTCTGTGACTCAGCATGGGTGACAGCCCCCAGGGGCTCAGGCCACAGCTGCTGCCGCTCCCTCATGGCCTCCAGTGGCCTCAGTAGCCCTGCTCTCACTGGCCACTACAGTCCCTGCTCACTGCTCCCTCCCTCCTCCCAGGGGTCAGCAAGATTGTAACAGTGGACGTGAAGGGGAACAGCCCACTGTGGTTGAAGGTGAAGGACCTGGCAGAGGGAATGACCTACAGGTTTCGAATCAGAGCCAAGACCTTCACCTACGGGCCTGAAATCGAAGCCAATGTCACCACGGGCCCAGGAGAAGGTAGGAAGCCATGCACCTCTGCCCTCAGCACCAGGTCCTTCAGTCCCCCCTACCCCCCACCAAGTCAGAGGGGTCCCCAGCTGTCAAGAGCTGTGCTAGACCCTGGAGACGAGGTGGGGAGTGCGGAGCTCACTCACCCCCTCGTCCTGTCCCCTTTCCCTGTCCCCTGTCCTAGTAGCACCCCCCCAGTGCCCCTCCTTTCTCCCCTGGACTCTGTGATTCATATGGCATCCAAGTCCTTGGGATCCTCATGCTGTGACCCCCTAGAGTGAGGCAGACCTTCCTCTCACTGCCAAGGCCCAGTACACAATGGCCTGGCCTAGCCTGTCACAGGGTCAGCTATGAAACCCAGACTGGCTTAAAATTCATGTTTCTCCTGCCTCTGACTCCAAGTGCCAGGATTACACGCGTACACTACTGCACCCAGTTTTCAACTTGCTGCCTCCTCCCTAATCACCAGCCTCTGTCACCTCAGCCTCCATCAATTCTGTCCAGAAAGGATGCAGCCTAGCAGTCCCCTGCCTTTGGCCAGGCCACAGCCATCTTCCCACATCCTAGGAACACCCCACACACACACACTCATGCCACCACCAGTGGCTTGTGGAGCGGGGTATAAAAGAGTCACCCTTCCTCTTATTAAAATGCACATTCCTGGGGTGGACCCAGAGATTCTGATATCCAGGGGCTGAGGGGGACCAGCAATCTGCACGAATCATAAGAACCCTGGGAGGCTGTGATGTAATCAGCCCCTCCAGAAACTGTCCCTGTCGCAGGTACAAGTTGTCCTGTCCTGAACACAGAGGCTACCTCCAGGGGACTCTACTGAGCCAGTGTCCAGCCTATCCCAAACTTCCCCAGAAATATGCCTCCTCCTTCCCCACGGGCCCAATTGGCCTCCCCTTGGTGGGGGGAGTGTTTACTTTCCCTTTATGGTCACTTTTTATTCTCCATGTCTTACTCTGGAAATCTGGTCCTGAGCCCCCTTAGAACAAAGCCCACCAGACCGCAGGAGGCACCCCACCTGGGAGCTGCCCCAGCTCTGCCCTTTACCTGCTCCCAGCCCCACCCCAAGACTTCAAGAGACAAAGCAGGAAGAGAGAGCTGCCAAGCAAAGGGAAGGATTTTCACTGTCTGAGGGATAAGAGAGGGCCACCTGGAGGATGGGCTGTTCCAGCTTTAAGTATCCCAGGTTGGAGGGAATAGGTGGGGGAGGGGAGGGTGGACAGGAAGCCAGAGGAGGGATGGCGGACACTCAGAAAGACAGGTGGTGTGGGTGAGGAGGGGGCTGGGGTGGAGAACACACAGCCAGGTTGTCTTTTTCTCTCCATACCAGGCTGCAGCTGGGCCACCTCCCTCAGCCCTGAGCATTGTCCTGTGCAGTAAGAATCCAGGGTCCTGAAGGCCACCCCCAGCCCTCTGCATCTCTTTCAGGCTCTGTCCCCCTTGAGCTGCAGGGTGTTCCTTAGGGAAGGAAGGACCGCTCTCAGAGGCCATGGGGTCAGGACTGGATGTTGTGGGACAAATCCGTGGCCTCTTGTCTTGCCAGTCAGCTCTCCTGGGCCCCAGAGGGACTTCACTGAGATAGTGGGCTGTGCTCTCTTGCTGGCAGGCACCAGACCACCAGTCAGCCACTCGCTGCCTGGTACCCTAGTCCCACAAGCACGTGGGAAATGCTTGCTCTGTGCTAGGCTGTGGGGATGCTGAGCTCCAGGTCTTGTGGGAAGCTGACTCAGTGGGTGAAAGCACACGGGTTGTGGCTCAGAGACAGCAGCACCCAGGGGACAGGTACCATGTTTACACTGATAAGCTCCCCTTGAGAAGAAGGGGCTTGGGACCGTCTGTAGACAGAGACCTGACCCACCTCTCCATCTACAGAAGTAGCCTCCTGCTCCTGCTCCAGTTCCCTGCTGGCCAATGTTATAGAATACTACCTGAACATACGTGGTGCCAGGAGGGCCACAGGGAGCCCAGTGCCCTTTTGTTTCCTCCCCAGGCTTCCTGGGGCCTGAACCCACTCTCTCCTCCCCTAATCTCATAGCAAATGCAGTTAGGGAGCAGGAGATTTCAAGCAGGAGGTTTGATGACATCACCAAAGAAGGCCCTTCAGCCTCCCTCAAACCAACCCTCCATCCACGAGCCCCCTCTGCCATCATCACACCCTCTCCTGTGCCCCATGATACATCCCTTAGATCATTACTTCCAGAAGGACCTTAAAGATGGCCAAACTGAAATTCCCTCGGAGGGCTCTCGGAATGGGTCAGAGTCAACCGTGTGATAAATTCTGGCTGAAATTAAAACCCCAGGTCCTCTGACTGCTCCGGAGTGCTTCCTGGCATCATCTCATGCTGTCTCTCCTGCCCTGGTATTTGGAAGATAGCTGAGGGGAGCCTGAGGAGACAGTATGTCGTACGACCTGGCAGGGCTTGCCCAAGACACTCCTTGGGCTCTAGTGCTTGCAGAGGGTCCTGAAGACTTTGTAGCTCAGTCTCCATCCCCCCACACCAGCACAGGCTGACAGGTGGGGTGACCTTTATGCATTCCATACATCCGCTGTGTGTGCTTTTGCAGGTGCCCCGGGACCACCAGGAGTGCCAATCATCGTGCGATACAGCTCCGCCATTGCTATCCACTGGTCCAGTGGAGACCCCGGCAAAGGGCCTGTCACCCGCTACGTCATAGAAGCCAGGCCTTCAGGTGGGCACTGCCGTCTCCCTTGGGGCTGGGACTCCACAACTTACTTCCTGCTGCTTTCCTGTGCCTACACTTGTGCTTGTGTCTGTCCTGCACCTGAAAAGGCACTCGCGCCATTACAGGTGAAGCTAAGGTGGCCCCATTGTGAGTAGGAAATGCCCCCTCTGAACTGAGCTCTTGCTTAGGGAATTCCCAGGGAGCCCCCAAAGAATGAGTCTTAGCACCAGGTGCAGACCAAGTTGGGTTGAGAATCATTCAAGAAATCAGAGGAAGCCTGGCACCCATGGCTCATGCCTGTGGCTACTTGGGAGGCTGAGATTGGGAGGATTAAGGTTCAAGGCCAGCCCGGGCAAATAGTTCACAGGACTCCATTTCCAAAATAACCAGAACAAAATGGACTGGCAATTTGGCTCAAGCAATAGAGCACCTGTTTTGCAAGCATAAAGCCCTAAGTTCAAAACCCAGTCCCACCAAAAAGAGAGAGAGAGAGAGAGAAGCCAGAGGAGAAAGGGTTTGGCTCCCATTGCTTAAATACCTATGTTCACCGCACACACACACACACCCCACCCTGCGTGACCACACTGGTGGATGCCAAAAACTAAGGAGACCCAGCTGCCTCTTTCAGCAATGCCTCTGCACTCACAGCTCTTCTCACAGCTCTTGTAATTGTACCAACCTCTCCTGTCAAGCCTGAAATCGAATCACAAGAACTTCTAAAGCCATCAGGAGATGAGCAACTGATAAGTCACTCCAGGGGTCTGCTCTCCGCTCCTGTTTCACCATAGTCCTGACACCTGCTTCCGGGCTGCAGCTCCACTTACAAGCAGGGGCTTCAGCTCCTTCCGTTGCTAGGTTTCCAAGTTAATCAGAGGTGTCAGAGTCAGCCAAGAGCCACAGGCTTGTTCTTTGTATTCCATGGATCCATGGTTAAGGGATTGAGGTTGAGAAAGAAAAGACAAGACTTTGCGGTTCTAACCCCAAGAGTGAATAACTCATGATGAGAAGGACCTGAACAGATCGGAAGCTAGCACTTCTAATGGGAATACTGAAATATCCCAGTGACAAACTGTTAATACCTCCAGGAGGCTGGGTATTCATCATCCCAATAACAAAGAGTTAATAATTCCAGGAGTTTCTATCCCTGTTGTTGCCTTCATTTTATGTTAACAATCGCCGTTCCAAATAACTAATACATCTAGCAGCTCAGATGCACCAAGCTACACGAGGAGCTGGCCCTCTCCCCGCTCCAGATGGTCCCTCCCTCTGAGGCCGGCTGCTGAGTTGGCCAGGGGACCACTGCCTGTGCCTCCCAGCCAGGACCTGTGCCTGTTTATCTATTTATTCCACTCAACTTGATGGACCTGGTGCCAGGCTGTGGAATGTTGGCCCCAGACTCTGGCCTGTGGATTTTCCAGCGTTCCCTGGGAGGCCCAGCAGGAGCCTCTGCTGTTCCAAGTTTGGGAGCTGTGACTTGGTCCACACAGGTGGAATCGAGGAAGGATCGAGCCAATATCTGATGAAGACCCAGGGCCAAGCTGTGCCAGGGACTGGTGGCAGGCTCTATCATTCAGATGATGAAAAAGGCAGGAGGGCAGTGACGAGAGGTGGGCCAAGGATGCCATGAGCTTGCACTAAACTGCTGGAGAGCAGGCCCCATGTCCCTACCCCTTCTTTTGTGCTGCCTCATGCTTACAGCCTCCCCATCTTCAGTGAAATAGCCCTGTCTGTGCCTTGCTTGTGCTCAATGCTACACTGAACCAGCTAAGCATGCCTGCTTTCTACAGGCCAGAGAGCCGCTGAGCAGAGCAGACCTGGGAGGGACTGGTTCCTGGATTTAGAGACCTGTGGAACTGGCCCTGCACATCAGCTGGACTCCCAGGGCTGGAGGCCAAAGGCACAGAGGGACATTCCAGCAGCTTCTGGTGTAACCTCACTGCCCTGCCCGGGCCCCACCTTTTGTCTCTGTGTGGGGTAGAACTAGTGGGGGGATGAACAGCAGGCAGGAGGATCACAAGCCAAGGCCGTCAAGCACAGTTAACTCCCAGTTGCACACAGATCTGTCCTGGGCACCAGAGAAAGTTCAATGCCAAGAGTCAGACAGCTCTGGGCTGAAACTCCAGCCCTGCTGCTTACAGCAGTGTGACCTGGGGAAGATAAACTGAGCTCTCTCTGGGCCTTGGTTTTCTCATCTATAAAATGGAGACCATAGTTTCTCCCTCTCACCATTGCTGTGGGCTTGAAAAGTAAAGCACTTAGACAGAGAGTGCATGACAATAGTCAGTCAGCTGTTGGTCATCATTGTCATTATCCTCATTAGGACAGTTGCTCTGCAGAGAGCTCCAAAGACACAGATAGAAGATGGGTTTGTGCCCCAGTGCTTACATTTCAAGGTATAAATCACTAAAACTGGACACACAGTGCTATGAAAAGGCCAGGGAAGTGGGGCCTGGTGACCATACCTGTAATCCCAGCAATCAGGAGGCAGAGAGAGGAGGATTATGAGTTCAAGGCCAGCCTGGGCTACATTGCAATACCCTGTCAGAAAGAGAAGGAGGGAGGGAGGAGGGGAAAAGGTCTCCACTTTTATTCAGTGCATACTTAGAAGGTGCCTGTGCTAGGTGCTAATTTATACAAATAGAAAGTAAGCATGATCTTTGCCCAGAGGAGAAAGAGAGAGAGAAAGGGGGTGGGATTGGAGGGGTGAGAGAGTAGAGAGGGAGGAGGGAGGAGAGAGAGAATCAAACAAAAAGAAGCTGTGTCTGAGCTGGATGCTCAAAAACACCCCTGATGGAGGCCAAGGCTCATACTTCTGGGGCCTTCGGTGAGGACAGCTCTGAACACAGAGAAGGCCCCTGTAGCCTTCCGTTGGTGAGGTCTACCCTGGAAAGGGGCAGGGAGCCCTCATTAGGTCCTGGTACACACTGGTCCACAATTCAAAAATTATGCTAGGGGCCAGGCACAGGGGCTCACACCTGTAATCCCACCTATTCAGAAGGTGGAGATCAGAGGATAGCAGCCCAGGCAAAAAGTTAGAGATGCCATCTCAATCAGTAAGCTGGATGGTGTAGTGTACACCTGTGATCTCAGCTACATGGGAGGCAAAAATGAGAGATCCTAGCAGAAAAATAACTAAAGCAAAAAGGACTGGGGGGTGTGACTCAGAGGTAGAACAACTGCCTAGCTGAGTTCAAACACCAGTACTGCCAAAAAAAGAGAGAAAGAAATATGATAAGGACATGGTGGCACCTCCACTCACGCCCTGGACTCACCCGCTGGATCTGTAGGAAGTGTGACAATCCATCAGCCCGAGAAGCATGCACTGGAGTTGGGGAGTGGACCTCCGGGTGGATGAGCTGCTCATTCTGAAAGTTCAGGAGTCAATGGGAAGAAGAGATGGAGCCAGAGGAACCATGGTGTGGTGTGCCAGAGGGAGTTAGGGGCCTCTGCTTCCATGGCTCAGCAGCCTAGAGGAACCACTAGCCTGGGTAACTGTCCTGGAGCAGGTCATGGGAAGGTGGACTGTGAGCGTCACATACCAAGCTCCTTCTCAGACCTGCAGCTCCGTGAAAGGAGGATTTAACTAGTGCCCAAGGTGACTTGATCCAAGGATGCAGACTCTGTTCAGGAGCTAGCCTGTCCCCAGTGGCCCTGTACAGAGCATCTGGCCAGGGCCTCTCCTGGCCTCACTGCCACCATGATAGATGCCACTGGGTCCTGGTGACACTTGCCTCTCCTCTGTAAGGTGAGAATGAATTAGGTCCCACCAGGGCAAGGCCCACGGAACCATCGATAAAGAGGAGAAGGGACAGCATGGGGCAGAGAACAGACAAGGGTTCCATCTGGCCCTCCATGACCTTTTCCCTCCTGATCTCAGCTTCTAAGAAGAGGTGTACCTGGGGATGGTGGCTGGCTGGGCACTAGTTTCTCACACCTATAATCCTAGCTACTTGGGAGACTGAGATTGGGAGGATTACAGTTCAAAGCTAGCCTGGGCAAATGGTTCGAGAGACCACCCCCCTCCATCTCCAAAATAACCAGAGAAAAGTGGACTAGAGGTGTGTCTTGAGTGGTAGAGTACCTGGTTTGCAAATGTGAAGCCCTGAGTTCAAACTCCAGTCACATACACAT